GGGAAATGAAGGAGCAAGAAATGCTCTGATTCATTTGTAAATTTCTAAACAAATGCCACTGGTGTAATTGCAAACCTGTCTATGCGAAAAAGTTCAGGAGGGAATTTTTTTTTTAAAAATCCTTGGACAAATTCTGCAAAACACTCAAATTCAGACAAAATACCGCACCCCCTGCCACCCACTTTACAGCTTGGATTGGACGGTCTGTTCTTTGAGCTCCTGCAGGCCAATGCTGGTCAGATGGACCTCATCGGGTCCGTCAGCAATGCGCAGGGTGCGGGCTCCGGTGTAGAAGGCTGCCAGAGGGTAGTCCTGGCAGACTCCAGCTCCACCATAGATCTGGATGGCTTGGTCAATCACACGGGTCAGCATACGAGGGGCCACAACCTTAATCATTGCAACCTGGTCAAAAAGCAACCAAAATTACAGTAGTAAATGAATTTTAAAAAGGTGATATCGTACAATTTACGGGGTGATGGAATGCAGTAGTTTCTTTCACATACAACCAAACTTGCCTGCTTGCGAGCTTCCTTGGTGCCATACTTGTCAATGGTGTGAGCTGCCTTGAGAGTCAACAGCCTGGCCTGATCAATCTCCAGGCGACACTCTGCTATCTGGTGCTGAATAACACCCTGTAGGTCATAAGAAATGCTACGGTTTAACCTAATTGGCTGGATTCATAGTCCACAATCCCACAATAAGAATTTTATGCTGAAAATGTATGTCTTCTTAAAGCCTTTTGGCTTGTTATGAATCAATGACGAAACACCAGAAAATGAAAACTGGCCATCACAAAAAGCTTCTAATTTTGGCAAAATTTCTTGCCGCAAAATTTTGAGCATGGAATCCATAAACGCTGCAAAAGACTGGCCAAATACCTAAACAATGGTTGACAGTTGAACAGAACTGCTACCAACTTAGTTGAACCTACAAGCCTGTGTACAGTCAGGTCAAAATCAGGCAAGTGTTCAACCACAGCATATGAACACCAACCTATGTGCGCAAAAGGTGTGTCTATCCCAGGGGAAATCACTACCATGCAATGTAGCACCCTTTCTCATGCCAGTCCACAAGATAGTCCTTCAGACTAACTTGCAGTTCTTACCATTCTGGCTAGCTCTTTTCCAAAGGCCTTTCTCTTGATGGCACGGTCGCACATCATCTCAAGTGCCCTTTCTGCCATCCCAATGGCACGCATGCAGTGGTGGATGCGACCAGGTCCCAAACGCCCTTGAGCTATCTCAAAGCCACGCCCCTCCCCAAGGATCATGTTGGAAGCAGGCACGCGCACGTTGGTGAATTCAACCTCCAGATGTCCATGAGGTGCATCTGGGAGCAATAAAGTCATCATTATGCACATTCACATCATTCAAATGTTACAGTATGTATCTTCAGTTGAATGAAATTAGCTGAAGGGGATTCAAACCTGTAATGGTCAGAACATCAAAGGACACTCTATCAATCAAGCATTTCACTCTTACGTTGAAACAGCTATATTATCAACCAATCTTGTTTTCAAGCAACTATGTCGCACTTGTTCATGCAGCACTCACTGCGTACTTGCACCCACTAGCTCAACGTGCACCTTGGTACTGCTTTCAGTTCCTATAGTTTTAGTGCTAAAACCAACTTAAAACACAAAACTAGGCTGGTTAATTCTACTTGCTGTAGAAAACAGATTCAAGAGAGGATTCCAGTAAAAATCTATAAATATCAGCAGGAAAGAAGTCTGACACATTGGGAAAAAAGCATCCACAAGAAGTTGCTGACTGCAATGAATGCCCCTTTACCCCCAATGTATTACCATGACATGCCTGACAGCAGGCATTCAACTCTGACATCAGAAAATATGGTACATCGTCCAAGTTGCACAAGGCGAGGTACATTGTCAGTTCAAAACTGCACAAGGCTAGGAACATTGTCAGTTCCAAGCTGCACAAGGCGAGGAACATTGTCAGTTCCAAACTGCACAAGGCTAGGAACATTGTCAGTTCCAAGCTGCACAAGGCTAGGAACATTGTCAGTTCCAAGCTGCACAAGGTGAGGAACATTGTCAGTTCCAAGTCGCACAAGGTGAGGAACATTATCAGTTCCAAGCTGCACAAGGCTAGGAACATTGTTTTTACAATTTGTAACGGCATTGAAGAAAAGAACAAAGAAAATCAGTGGATCAAGGGAAATATCCATCTATAGGCTGAAGTTCAACTTTGTTGACAAGGCAGGCAAATCTTTTTTTATAAATTTATCTACCATATTTATGAGATTGAGGAAGGAGGGTAGTCAGGTGAGAGGCAATGGGAGCAATACTAAATAATATGACACACCTGGGTTGCCAAACACTGTAAGGGGTCGTATCTTCTTCACCCCAGGTAGATCCATTGGGACTATAATCATACTGTGCTGTCGGTGCCTAGAGACAAAATGTGGGGCATCAATCAGATCAAACATTACTAGATTCCACAAAATGACACATTCTGACTAGCCAAAATCACATGGTGTATAGAGTAAAATGCAGCTTGAACACAGCACATGTATGGACACACGGCTATATGAAGACAAAATTTGTTGGCTTATATTAGAGTGATATGAATTATACCTTTGCTTGGAGCACACCCTCGCCGGCAGTGGGGAGACAGGTTGGAGGGAATCATTTTGTTTGGATGGCAGTGCAAATGGCAGTGACCATACATTCTAACTAACAGAAATTGGTCGTGTGTGCCCAGCACATCCCACGCGACATGTGCATAAACCTGTGGGTAGGCCTTCACTGGGTTAAGGAGACAATTTCTTTTGTTTCTTATTGGCAAATGAGGACCCAGTTTTGAGGACATTTCTCGGTCCCCACAACATTTTTCAGTCCCTATAAAATGGGGTAAAATGTCATGTGTTTGTCTCCCTACAACTATGGACCAAGTATGTGTGCATGCACGTGGTGAGTTCCCACAATCCTTGCTACGTAGGACCACAATGTCTCTTGTTCCTGCGCAGAGCAGATGACGATATTTCAATAATTCATGAAGGAAATACAATAAAATTAAAAACTAAAAACACAGATACGTGGAGTTAACTTGAAAAACGGTGAATGATGATGACAAACACTGTTTGGCAGCCTCTAAACATATAAGTCTTCAACTTGGAAAACAAACCTGGATTTATCTTTGTTAGGAGTCAATCCCATCAAGATGGCTACCTTGCAACGGGGATCCCCAGCACCTTTGAACGATACAATCAAATCAGATATCTAGTGAACCAGTAGCATAAATAATAGTTTTCAAGGGATGGGGGGGGGAGTTGGCAGGGCTGGCCATCCCTGTCAGTTTCTTCCTCGGCCTGTTTTTCAGAGGAGATCGATGTTACAAAGTAGGTTAAATACACCTTGCAAGATCCCTTTATCCCCGATCAAAGACTGAAAAAAGACTGGCAACCTGCAGTACTGTAATGACTCACCACTGCTCCACCATTTCCTGCCATTGATGACATAGCTGTCCCCGTCTCGCACAACCAAACATTCCATATTGGTAGCATCACTCGAAGCAACGTCTGGTTCTGTACAGAGAAATAATCCAATGAGGGTTTAGTTTAGGTTGTCTGTGGTGGAAAGCCACAACTCTGAGTGCTCCTTTTAAAACCGAAATTCTCCTGGAGCAGTTTCTGAAGTTAAGTCTGGGTGCAAGACAAAAACCAAATGCTTCACTGCACAAGGATTAAGTTCAAATTTGATTTCATGTTCCAGTTTTGGTACAAGACTTGACTTTAGATTCTGAAGTATTTATAGGACAGCTTGCCATATATGGACTCCCCCCGGATCTTAAATTTGCTAGAAATATGGAGCTTTGCTTTTAAAATGCTCATTTGCTGAGACTGTCCTCAGTCAAGATTTCTACTGAAATTCTGGGCAGCCACAGGAATACTTATTATCAGTGTCTTGCACAGCTCTGCAACAAACTAGCTGCTTAAAGCTTACGCATGGTTTCATTTATGCATCATTTTGTGAAATTGTCTGACAGATAGTTTCCTGTGCCATCCACAAAGTTCTAGGCTTGAATTCTCAATATTCCACTCCCTTCACAAAGTTCTAGGTTTGAATTCTCAATATTCCACTCCCTTACCTGTCATACAGTAGCAGGAGCGCATCGTCCCATCCAGCAAAGGCTGAAGCCAGGTCCTCTTCTGTTCAGGGCTCCCATACAAGTGCAAGACCTCCATGTTGCCAGTGTCTAAGACATAAATGAAGTCAGAACAGGCATCGTTAGTACCGTTAACCCTCATCCTGACAGCTTTACACCTGTTTTGCTATATGCTCCAAAACGCTTCAGTACTTTTAACAGCCTTAAAGTCAATAGTCAATAGCTTAGAGAGGTCCTGTTTCCTTCTCTTCCCATTACACAGTAATGCCGCTGTGTGGAAACTGTCCAACTGAAGGGAAAGTGTTCTGTATCTGGGTAACACAATTCTGGAGCTCCATAAAAGCCAACCACTTTTAAAATTTGGACTTACTAATGTACAAACAACTTTTCCTCAGACTGTTTGAATTTTTGCAAGCTGAATGGACTTACTCGCAATAAAAATACAAGCTGAGGTGAAATTTGTTGTGTTTGGTGGTCACACACAAGTCTCTTCTCAACAAAAGGAGCATGCTTGACCAATAAGTGTGAATGAGGTAAACCAGTGTCCAAATTAACCTGGTTTGGCGACTTGTACATGTACGTGGTGGTCAGATACAGAACTCGTCTTAACAAAAGGAGCATGTTTGACTCGTGTGTATGAGGTGAAACAGAGTCCACATTAACCTGGAGCACTGCAGTTGAAGGGTTCTGAGCCTATGAAGGTCTGCCCCATTGCCTCGGCCATGAAGGCATACTCTAGCTGAGTCAGACCACTCACACCCGGCAGGAACAGGTTCCAGAGGCCCTGGGCCTTGGCTTTGGCCTTGAGTTCCTCCATGATAGGCGGCACACACCAGATGGTATCACCACTCTGCACTTGCTCCAGATATTTCTGGGAGATACAGGGTAAAAACTCATCAACCCTCATTCCTCGGGCATCTTTTACCACAAATCTTCTTGATTCCTTGAAAATTCTCTGCTGTTTCGTGCACTGGGGGATATCAAGCTCTGAGATACATGTAAGGTAACAGTGGCTAAACTTTACCTTCCTCGATCATGGAAAAATCCTCCTATATCTCCAGATACATTTTGATGGATCTGGTAGAATTAGGATTCAGGCAGTCACAAGACAACAGACCTTATTCTTGATCATGTTCCCTAAATCTGTACAATACAATGAAATCTGTCAAATGGGGTGGTACCAGCCCATTTAGGGTTTTATGCCTCCCTTTCATATATTTACAATGTCGCTTAAAACATTTAGATTGAGTAAGGCTAATTCACTAATGGAGGACGAACAATGCCAACAAACGTAAGAGAATACCACTGCCAAAGTCTGCTGAAATAGCTGGCAACTCACGATGAGACTGGATAACTTATGACTGACCAACTGATTAACACGGGACGGCTTTGATTACAACACTGTACTAAGGTACACTTAATGGAATATTCAAACTTCCTAACCTAAATGTATATGTACAAGTGTAACGGCTGGGATAAATATGACTGAATGCTGCATCCACAGCACATGCATGTAATGATTTCCACTTACTTTTTCAACAGGGAGGATCTCATTCTTGACAAAGTCTTTGACTTTCTGCAGGATCTGACTTGCCCTCTCTGATATCGGTTGAGATTCCAGTATTGGCTTCATCTCAAGAATTATGGAGGATGTCGGACTGCCGGCAACGCTGAGCAACCTGTATAAACCAAAGTGTCATTCACATGTCATGAGATCTGTAATCCTTGATGATAACTGGTACATGTAGGTCTCATCATAACTGTGGGATATCATCTGTGCGGTGTGCCTCTTATTGACGGAAGTACCATTATTCATAATGAAGTGGTTGAGGTGGCAAAGTGGTTGAAGTTTGTGACTCCTGACTAGAGGGTCAGGGGTTTGAATCAAGCTGCTGGCCGTAAGCTGTGGCCTTGGGCAAGCAACTTCTCTCCACCCAGGAGCATAATTATTATAATGGTACTGGCACAGCTGGGGAGCAACCTGTGACTGACATCCTATACATTCTTGGTCATATCAAGCCGAGGAAACAAGCAGAGGTGGTAGCCAGTCAATTTTTGCAAGTCCAAGTCAAGTCACAAGTCAATTTTCGCAAGTCTCAGCCATGTCTGCATATGGGTAGTTGTCATAAAAATACATGTAATCGATTAGTGTATCTTGAAGGCGTGTTACAACCACCTAAATGCAGCATTTTACGCTGAAATGTTCAGCCTTCGAGACCAGGATGCCATTTTTGGTTTAAATTTTAGGCTGAGTGACATTGTCATGCACTGATAGGAATAACTTAATATAAGGCTGACACGAAGCTGTTGATTCGCTCCCCAGAAAGTTAGGGGAAAAACAATGAAAAGCAAAAGCACTGCCAAACAATATAATGTGCAAGACTACAACAGCCATGTGATTCAGACAAGTCCTTGGGCAAACAAGACCAAAGTAGAAGTTGTCAGCCAAACGAAGTCTTACGATGATTATTTTAAGAACGCAAAGGGTACGTTGATAGGCCTAGTTTAAAACTGTAATAGGTTGGATTGAATAGTTTTCTGACTTGCGTTGGTAACAAATCATAATGCGCAAGTCCAAATCAAGTCACAACTCATTTTTTGCAAGTCCAAGTCAAGTCACAATAAAAAACTGATAGTTACAAGTCAAGTCACAAAAATAGTGACTCGAGTCCGGCTCGATTCCAAGTCAAGTGACTAGAGCCTACAACTCTGGAAACCAGACATACATGTACACACTGGCCTGATGAGCCAATTGGAACAGACTTGCTTGATTCTTAACACACATTCTCAGCAAATAAGTTTACTCCAAGAAAATCTACCAGAGAGACACTGCGTATGTGTGCAGCCCCAACCCCCAGAAATAACTGGTGTCACCTTCAAACAAACTTGAGATTAATTACTTGTTTCCTTGGCTTTGGAAACAATTCTTTTATTGAACATACCAAGAAAGGAAGGTCAACTGAAGTATGACTAACTACCGTTTTGTCTGATCCAGTCCCAGGCTAAGCATCAATTCCACAATCTCCTTATAATTACTCGCAAATTGAGAGCTCGCATTACCGAGGAGGGCACGACAGTAGACTCCCTGAAAAAAAGAAAATAATAAAAACCATTTAAAAAAAAAGATTAGTTCTTTTAATTGGTTTTACACTGGTAAGGTAGAAATTGTGGGTATATAAGTGACTCCAAAAGAAGCTTGCAAATTGTTTCTCCAAAGCTATTTGACAGCGTTTTCCGCAGACTAGCCATCAAAACTATGTCAGAGAAGGGCAAATATTGAAACTTACATCTTCCTCACATGCAAAACTCCATTAAAAAAGTCACGTCAAAACTTCTCATGAATAGAAGTATTCATTTATGATTAATATTTGATAATGTCTGACATGTTTCAAACACACAACACTGTTGGGGTTAGTGATTTTGGTTTCTAAATTGTTTGCACTATTCCACAAACAGTGAGCTTGCATCTGGCTTCTTTTTGCCACCTGAGTGCTGTGATGAAAAGCAGCAGCTAAGAGAATATAACGGCCATATGTCTTACTTGACAAATGGAAGCCATCTTGAAGAGACAAAGGGCTAGATAGAATTGCCAATGAGGCACAGGGTAGGGCTGAACGCAACGCTGGCAGTAAGCCCTGACAAAATCTGCTTCACTTGGGATACCGCGAATGCGCTTCAGTTCAGAAAATTTATCCTCTGTGGTGGGAACATGCAAATGAGAATAAACAAACAGCAAGATCATTAAATTGGCTTCATTGTGTTTAGTGTTTTTGCCACATATCTGATGTGGATATCCCATACTTAACTAGGGCACTATTATCTTTGTTTTCACAGAATGAAGTTAACCAAAGACGTACTAGTATTTAATGTGGCTTGAAAGACAAGTTTGACTATCATGTTATGAGAGCAACAGGAATGCTTATGCCCGGTGAGGTTGCTACATTGAAACCAAGTAAAAACAAGATTCTAGCTTCAAATTAAAGATGAAATTTACATCAGGGACTCCACTCCAAAACATTTTGAATGGGATGAACTGAATGGGAGACATTGAGAGGCTCAGTGAAGGCAAACGTACCAGTCTCGCTTAAACAATCCACTATTATTTGGAACATTTACAACCATACACATTTGTGACCCGCTCTGCAAAATGAGTTCCAACTCACCCGAGCCACTTTTGAGTTTTACTTTGTATTAGATTGAGGAATTTGAGCTCTTTGTTTTGATGGGTCGCTCCGTTTGGTATGATGACAACGCACGTTTTACTGACCTATGTTAAATGTCGAGGATTCCTCTTGCTTAAAAACTCTGCAAGATTCTCTCAAAGGCCTTTTTTCAGAGATGCCCAAAAAAAATCTGAAAATCAACATATCCAAAGCGCTTCGCACGATGTTGGTTTTATACGTATTAATGCATGGGTCTGCGTGCATGTACATGTACACAACGTGCATCTGGGTGTAGTCACCTATAAAAACCAAAAGTTCTTTCTTGATCATCGCTGGTCGATCACAGAAATAAGTTGCAGCCTACATGTAGGCCAGCCTGCTGTTTTTTACTCAAAAATATACGTACGTTTTTAATTTTGCTTGATTGAATTGGATCAACACTTGCCAAAGATTTATGTAACTAAGGCCTACTGCATACATCATGCAGTCTTTTATTAGGCCAAAAAAATACGTGTAATGCTGTGGGTGCCTCTCAAAAATCTGATCGGTAGGTCGGAACATTTTTTTTGTTTGGGGGCAATTTTGTGCTGATTGAATGGCATCAGTAGAGAGGAAATCTTCCAAAAGTATCTCAAAAAGTGAAGAACACCTGTCTTAATCTTTGTAAAAATTTCTACATACGGCAATTCACAAGAAAATTACCAACAATTCAGGCAATCACGATGGCAAACTGGCCAACAATGTCTGTGTATCGCGTGGTAAGCATGTGTGATGCATCTAGACCAGCGGGCGCTAAAGTGAGCGTAACAACCTCAAATTTCTCATACATGTAAACACGGAAAATACATACATAAATAAGAGACCAAGTTCTGTGAATTAACTTGCAGAAAACTTCTTGCAACATAGCAATCGATGTCTTTCCGGCCTGACGCGTACGGCTGATGAAGAGTGGTTATGTACAGTACATTCAGTACACGTACAGTACAGACTGGTACTGATTGCTACATTTGCGTGACGCATTCTTTTTCATGGGTGCTGCGCGGCGGGAACCAGAGCAGCTACGTTTAATGCATAGAGTTTCGCACACGTGTTTTCCACCACTGGGACAGCGCCCAAAGAATTGTAAGGGCGATTTCATGTCTGTGAGTGGCGCTAGGTGACATGGGCTGGTGATGAGTGATCAGCCTGATTAATGTCTTGGGCGTAATTCTAACACAAATCTAATAATAAATCGGACGCCATAATCCCAAATACCGTGTCGATATTTTAAGAGTTGTTATTGACATGTTGGTCGGACAATTTGTCCGAGCATTTTTTATTTTGTTCGGACAAGCACAGTAAGTGCTCGGAGTCGGAAAATGTCCGATGTCCAACCGTAATTTCACGCTCTGATTGTTATCCTTTTCTTCGAGCCATCTCCACTGAAATTTGTCCTTGACATCTCTTTCAATATCATGAAGATCCTCGTTTCTGTTGACAATTAGATGCTGCATTTTTTTGGCCCTCGAACATGAAGTCGATCAACGCGTGTTAATCATCCAACGTACAGTATAATGTACGTCCGTTGTGCACGTTCATGCACCGCACATGAGGCATGAGCATACATTGAGCTAGTACGCGTTAAACGTCAATATTTCAACTTATTTCCAGTCACTGACAACACCACTCAACGCTGTCCTTCGTATTTCGCGCCACAATGACTGACGTAAGCATTCTATACTGACGACTGCGCTCAAGATTAAGTACCCAGTCGCGCACTTGTACATGCACTTGTAACATGCGCATCATAGATTTGCTTCCAGTCTTTTCTTCTTTATTTAATTCTGTCAATGTTAAAAACACCGAAGGGGAAAATGTAAAAAATCGGATTAGGGGAAAAAATACCAAAAAGTCGGATTTCTGATTAAAATCGGAAAAGTGGCATCTCTGTTTTTTAACTCGAAAGTGGCCCTGGCGACATGTGACACGTTTTTGTAGAGTGGGTCACATAGTAGCTAGAATGTGACACAAACAATAATGTTCGCTCTCGAAATTCCCGAAGCTCTTCTGTCGCTTGCACGTGCGCGTGCATGTGCACACACTATTGGCAGAATGAGAAATCTCACAGTGAGTGTGATATGCAGATAGATCGCCCTGTCATGTGATTGTTCTGGGCCAATCAATGGACAGTATCCAGACTGAGGTATGACCAAATGAACTAGATACTCACGCTTAGGGTTCGTAAGATGAATAGGCATATTGTGCGGGTAGTGATACAGCATGCAAACATATGCAACGTCGGTCAGTGGCTCCCCGAGAGTTGATAGCTCCCAGTCTAAGACAGCTAACACCTTGGGCTGAAATAAAAGGACAAAGGTATGGTGACTATGTACTCGTTGATCCAGGAGAGACATGGCAGCTGCCTGAAAATAAAGTGTTCTGCAAAAACAGTGGTCAGGACACTGATGACTGAATTCCCTGTCAATTCAAGAAGTATTCAGTGCTATGCTCAATTCGTACAATTCAAAATAATTCACAAATTTCCTTCTCCATTACCTTTATTTGTATAACAATTGCAAGTACTGTGGTTTGTAAGATGGCGAGAATTTTAATAGTGGTTTCCCATTCAAACAAGAAATATATTTGTCTTAGAGCAAGGTATTTTGCTGCTATGAAGGCAGGCGATTTCCTGTTTAACCACTTGCCCACGGGGATTCCAGTTTCGGACACGTATTCTTTATACGTGTGGCCGGGGTCTCCAAAATCGGACAAAGGGAACTGGGCCTTGTCACAAAAGGCCATACTCGTAACAAAAGACCAGACTGCTGGGAATTACGAACGTTTTTTCACTCTTAATAGTGGAGATAATCCAGCCTTGTTTTGAAACAGTTTACCACGGTTTGGGGCATTCAGCACGAGCGGATTACCACCAGGCACAAAAGTGCCTGATCACACAGTACCACTGCATGCTAATCTGACCCCTATTGAAAAGAGGTCAGCAGCACACTGTGCCAGTTTCGTGAACAAAAAAAAATATGTAACACCGCAAAATCTGGGCTCTTTTTACATGGCAACAGGCCTGGCTGAAATACTCAGGCATCAACAGATGTTGTCTGTAAGGTTAGGGTAGAAACCAGACAGTCCTTCGTGTGGGTGTAAGTGTCCAATAAATGAAGATATGAATTTTAAAGAATTTTGAAAACAGAAAAAATGATAATTATCCCATCCCAGCATCATTAACATTGATAAATGCCACCGGCGCAAAGTAGTTAATCCTAACAGTCCTCAGCCCTCCAAAAGGTGAAGGATTGAGGACTGTTCGGGATATGGCATTCACATGGCCACAGGTTAGTAATCCTATTGCTGAGTTAAACAAGTTCAGAAAGTTCTCTCCCATTGGAATAGTAACTGTAATCAACTTTTACATAATTAGTATGAAAATAAATATGGAAGAATTCCTTACCAGTGTTGGGTGGAATATGATGTTGTCCAGCCTGAAGTCTCCATGGACAATGGTAGTCTTTTCCTCAAGTATTGGTTGGTTATCCACCAACCACTGCAGAAGCTGCTCGGCAGCTGGATTGTCTGGTAAGGAGGCTAGCTTGGTGGCACCCCTAAACTGCCTCCCCCAAGTGTTTACCTGAGGTCAAGACCAACATGAAACAGTTTTTTAGCAGCTGTTCATTACGTGCCATAATATCCTACGCTATGCCTGTTTCATGCTATTTTTCTTTTAAGTTAGAAAAGCCTTTTTGGAGAAATACCATTTGAGAAATAGATGTACATTGCCCGTAACTAAGAGAAAGATGAAAACTATCAGACTTCTTAAAGGAATACAAAATGAACATTTGTATGACATTTCAGCTATCAAACAAGCACAAGTTAACAAAACCAAAATCTGGGTGAATCTGTCCTCCATTCCATTTCAAATGGACAGAGGTTTAAATTTGACGTGTGTAAACTGACTTAGTGTTTCTGTAGCAGGTCTCGCATCTTTTTACCTGGCGTCTACAATAGTTGCCTTCCTTCCCAAAGTCCTGCAGACCTAGCTGTCTCCAGTCCAAACTATGCAGATGGGCCAGCGTAGCATTCAGAGCATCGTAGATCTCCTTACGTTCAGCTGGACTCTTGTCAGGCAGGGTGACATCTCGGAATATCCGACCCTTTAAAAGCAGAACACACAGATATTGTTACTTGACAATCATGTTCTATCTCTACAGAGCCTACTACTGTTTACTTAACAATGGACTGCCGTGAAGCAACAAATTATTTTCCAGATCAACGAAACGAGACGGCTATGGCATTGATACTCAATGTTACGATGTGGCACAATACAGGTTCTACACCCCATCTTGTCTTTTCGCTGATCATGTTTGGGGTGACATTTTCAATATCTGATTTTTGCTTCATGAATTCGGAATGTAAACCAGAGAGGGCACTTCATTACAAAGCAACAGTGTCCTGTAGGACAAACATGTATATTGGAACAGTTGTTTGTGTAAATATGACAAAGTTTCGTCTCAATGGTCACAAATCCATAGGGTTGTTGATTATAGTATTTAAAAGTAAGCCCAATCTCCCTCTGTTACCACTAGAAGTGCAACATGTACACAGTCTACGTTGAAAACAAACCTTCACAAAAGACATAACATAGAAGTCAGTGCCAATAACAGACTCATCACTGCAGTAAGCCAAAGGTGTTGGCACTGGGAAATTGGCTTTGTGTAGGGCCTGCTGGACTCGAAATTCACGGTCAACCTACCAACAGCAAAGAAATATTACACGTATATGTTTCAGACACAATGCCATGAGTTATCCAGTTACATGTGATTACATCTACATGTGGTATGTGGATTTAAAACATACTACAAATGGCTTGCAGGAATGCAAATGAAGCCATGGATTCAGGTGATCAACATTTTCATGTAAGCATCACACGAACTGTGAGGGAAAATTGGCTAGATGCACTTGGAGACATATTTTGGATAGAAAAACGTATGTAATTAGTCAGACTGGAACTTGTACCATTTAAAATTCTCTACTGGCCAAGCAATTTAGCCCTTCAGACAGGTCCAGCCACCTGAATGAAAAGGCACTGCTGCAAAAGCATAACGTGTACGCTCACTCGTGGGTCACACATGTACATGTACACATTGTAGGAGTCCTTATTTGACCTCTAGGATGCTGTGACTTCATTTTGCCACAAGATTCACCTCAAGGCAAACTTGTGCCCAGGAGTGTGGTGCTACCACAATAAAGGCATCTCCTGAGATCAGTCAAACTCAAGGGGAGTTCCTCACCATCAGTAGGCTGAAGGGCATGTACATGTTGTGCTGTGTTGTTGACCTTGTACAGTGATACATAGGGTACCATATATGTACCAACTTATCTTATTATTGCACATAGTCCTTGATAATAAAGTTAAAGTACATGTATTAAAGCCACTAGAGGACAGGCCTTCAAAATGAGTAAATTTATTCTGCACAACAAACATCACAGCTCTTATCTTTCACTCAGCTCCACTTGCTGTTATCAGGTTTGCACAATTTACACACTCCATTGACAGTACATGTTTGAAAATGTGAACCAACCTGTCCAGTCAGTTCCAAACAATCACCTGCAATTTGGAATTTTACATAACGTCTGGATGTTTGTTGTAATTCCAGATCACTAGATCGATTTTAACTTCGAGGATGATGTATTTTAACGAGAGGTACCTGGTGAGCTCCTTTCAGCAACCTGCCTGGCGGCTTCTTACGCATCACATACTCACACCCATCCTTGGATAGGTAGAAAGTAGGGTTGGACTGACCAGACCTGTTAACACCCAAAACAGATGCATTTTTTTCTTTTGCCTTAAAAACAACCTCCAGTAATGATGGACAGAATACATGTATGTTAAGCTACAGGTAAGAACCTTTCGTGCAAAGCGTTTTCTTTGTCTAATAAAAAAAGCACATAAAACCTGTCAAAAGGCCTAAAAACTAATCTTTTCAAACTAAAAGGGAAACATACTTCTCAAGAGCAAAGGGAAGCCACTTCCCTATTTTGCTGACAATTTTTTAAATAACGTTATTTGACACTGGTGGCTACCCGATGCGCATTAATGTTCTTCCTTACTGGGCTGCATGTGCACGTAGCTTATAAAACCTTGATCAAAAGTCCATGTGTGAACAGTGGAAAGATTAAACAGTTGGAATTTTTACCCCTGTGTCAATGAAACAGTACAAAAGACAGATCTCTGCACACATGGCTATTATCTGTAGGTGATCAGTGCCAATACTTGATAGCCAGACAAGGTAACTTCACAAAGACTTTGTACCTTCAGCCCACATCAGATTTTTTCCTTTTCATTTGTCCTGAAAAGGTCAGCACTGTTTCATTCGGCAAAGAAAACATATCTCAGTAAAAACAGATTACCAGGCAAGTGCCGTGCAAAGTACATTACATCAGGTTGGTTCCCTGCTCATTTTTGCTGAGCACAAAAATCTCCTGAGCCATTTTTCCTGCTCAAAAGCTCCTTGACATTTGGCAGACTAGCGCTTACTTTTTCAACTGCTCTTTCAAATTAGACTTACAATCCATAGACCGAAACAATGCTTTCAAGCTTTACTTACGTAAACTGCCGCACTTGAAGCTGGGTAGAACTCTGAGGAAATCCTGGCACCTTTCTCATCAAAAACGAATGTAGTTTTTGCTCATCAAAACGATGCTGTTTTCTAACCTCACTCGTGTCCTCCATGTCTGCTTTCTTTGGTAAGCAACCACTTGCAATGGCAACATAAACAGGTGTGAAGAACTAGGGTGAAAAGAATTAAAATATTTTGCATTTGATTGCATTGACAAAGACAAGAGAGTACATGTGGGAATGCTTGGTCATGCTGGGGATAAGGATCAACATGACGAAATGTCTATGTCAGAGATGAAAAACCAAATTAATAACATGTTTGTGTACAGGTTGAAGAGGAGGTCAGGGATCCATTATCTGGGCCTTCGTGGGTACATGTACGCTTTAGAAATTGGGTAACCTTGGCTGGCCAACCCTAGTGACCCTATAATGACATCTTGAAATTTGCCAATGCGGCAAGGGTAAATCAGGCCCTTATTTGAGACTTGCTCCCATTGTACCCTGTGCATGTACAATGTACAGTAAATGTACAGTACATGTACGCGAAACACAAATATTTATTAATGAATCCAATTAAATTGGTTTTAAGAATATGCATTTCAGAACCTAACATTTGTCACTATTTTATTAACATTCATTATTTTTTGTTAACTTTTAGTGATAAATACACCAAAATAACACACAGAAACAATCACTAAAAGGTAAGGACAGAAGTATTATCTCCTCCCAGTGTTAGTAATTGCACATGTATCTGTACGTGTACATGTTCGTCTTGAATTGGCAACTATGAAACAAAAAAACAAGTCAGCTGGGTAAGAAAGAATTCCATACATGTACATGGACAGTATCACTAATTTTCCCATGCAGTGGTTTGTTAGCCTGCATTTGCAGGAGTCATCTGTAGGTATTGCACGAGCTCGCTGAAGTGTTCACAGCCTATAGATCTCCTCGATTGGATTCATTCCAGCACCCATTATCCTGGAAGCAGTAGCAACTACACGAGCCAGTTTACTTTTCAGGTCCAAATTAGTGTTACCATACCAGACGGTGATAGACAATGTAAGAATGCTTTCAGTTACAGTATGATAAATCATACTGAGAATGTCGTTTAATACTTCATCCCAAATTTCTTAAAATACATATACATGTACAAAAGAATTTGAAATAAAACAACAAGAAATCTGAACACCAAAGTCCTTTCCACCTCTTTCCCACTGATGCAAAGAGGCATGACATCGTAATTCCCAGACCTGAAATCAATGATCAAAACGGTCAGTTATACCTGCTGTTTTCATCAAAGCTATTTTAGTCAATCGAAATAATATACATCAAGCCCATGCCCCTGGTTAAATTACTGTCAAAGGGTTTCTGTTCTCTTTAATGACCCCTCTGCATCCATTTCAAACAGGGCAACCTAGTTTTCCATGGTTAAAACGGCTTTGACTGAAGTCTTGTTGGTGGAGTTCTTCGCTTGCCAACTAGAGTAAGAAAGTGAACATATCACACCAAACTTTTTCTCAAATCAAAATGAAATACCCCAAACCCCATGCCCTGCATCAAGATTACCGATTACACTGAAGCTGATTTCATTGTTCTCCTCAACCATGTCAACTACCAACCTGTGGCATGAGGTTTTTCGGGCTCAAACAAGCCCTCAAATGAAGGTGGTGCAGCTTATTTTTGTCCCTTTTGCACTCCACTGTTTTCCAGGAGTGTGCATCCTGTCGCTCGCCAGATATCAAACTGTAGACCTGTAAACAGGGCCCAATGAATACTCCTCTGTTGTATGTACAGTGTATATGATGGGAGGAGTATTCACTGAGCCCTGTTTACGTATCTAATCAAACAGGTACTTATTCAATGTTGAATATCAAATGGTTACTTGTTTAACATTGACTGTCGAACAGAGGAATAAGTAACTACAGTACATGTAACTTCACACCCCCTCAAGTACATTGGGGTCGAGTTAAGGCGGCCTGTTCTTGACGCGGGTTTCTTGTTCTCGCGCTCGAAAGGCGGGAACCCGACTCAAGAACACTGTTCCCAGAACAGGATCACACACCACCTCCTCGTCAGGGTTTTACAGGAACACACAGAAAACTCGTGAGATTTTGATTGTTGAACACCTGCAAAAGTAGAGAGATGGCTTCCAAAGCCATAGACCATGGGAAGTTTTGCAAAATTAACATTACATGTAATTATTTTCTGTAACACAGAAATGAATGTTCCTGTTTATGTAGAAAAGAATTCAGCCCATCCAAACATTAACTCTCGAATAACGTAGCCTACATGGACGCCGCCATGTTGCTTGTTACTAACTACAAGCGATAATCGGTTGTTTGTTCCCGGCGTTCGAGCGGCCGACGCACGAACAACAAATGGAGCTGTTCGTGAACATACGGGAACAAGCCGCCCGAACTCAGCCTAGTATGTGTTCTGCTCTCTGAAAGTGGAGTGCCCGACAAACACCATCACGACAATGTCAACCCTTACCGGCCTAAACTAAAGGCTGTAACATTATGTACGCCCCTACAGCTGTGGGGTCCGACGTCCGCCTCGCGGGCCCACTCCTCCTACCATACCAAGCGCGGACGACAGACCCCAACCGGGGTCATGCCCGTGCCGTAGACATAGTGGAATCGTGTGCCCCTGGCCCTATCCGATCATCCAAAGGAGTTGGTGTGATGTTTCCTGATGGAGGCTTTGCCAACTATACGATTCAGAACGGGAGAAAAAATAAATTAGGCCTACCTTGCCTAGCACAACAACCAGAGAAGAGTAACTCGATTATACGGCTCTTGCGAGAGCACGATCTGTCTAAACTTAGCTCAGGTGGACTTCCTGACGACTGTACTTCCAACCGGAACCTGGGCTGGTCAATATATCGCCCGGCCGGTGCGTCCACCGTAATCCAAAGCCATCAACTAACGCGATAAAGACACATGAGGGCGCAATTTCATTGCGTATTATGTACTGACGTGGTATTTTGATAGGTCATGTACATGTACATATGTAGGTAGCCTACAGTACACTGATAAGCACTTGACGTACCACACACTACCAGATGTGTTAAATTAAGGGTTCTCTCTGGTATTTCAAGTTTTAAATATTAAAAAGAGCAAACGAAGAAAACACCAAGAATACAGGCGTTGGCATATGTTTCTATTTGTTTTAACGTAAATTTTGTTGAACGGTGCAGTTTTCATTACAATAATTTCTAGGCGCAGGCAGGGCAAGGGATTTGCAAAATTGCATTCATGGCATTGGGACTCTCAAAGACTCAATATTCGTGAATGCAGCACATGAAAATAGGCTTGTGCATGCGACAAGAGCCAACCTGCTTCCAGCACCCTTTTGCTCTGATTTCGCCGTGTTGGGTAAGTATGTGGAGACAGGGATTAGAATTTAACCAAAACTTGCTGAGAAGGAGAACCTGACTAGTGCTAGCAGTTACTGGCAAATCACTAGTTTGAGCATCCTCCATGGTTTGAGTAACTCCTGCCCTAATTCTCATGGCTTTACTTTGTTCAGGCAATTTATGTTCAGTCATGTCAGTTTGTCTACTGATGTGATGAGTTACTCATTCAAGCTTGTTACACCCCAACTATAGTGTCTGCTAGCTGCCCCAATGCGGGACCATCCCAACTGTTGACCTGCGGTTCGGCTGGCCCAACTATTTGGACAGTCTCCATGGTCTCGGGAAGAGTTCCATATAGGGACTCCAGGATATTCCCTACCATGCCTGCAGTGACCTATTTAGTATTAGCCATTAAAAAAAACAAGGTTAGCACAATAGGAAAGCATCGCCTTTGGGTGCACTCTTTGGGGGACTGATGACTTGTTTGATAAGAATAATGAAAATGGAGGGTCTCAAAGTACACATTCCCAGTTGGGACAGTCCCAACTGTAGTTCGTGGTTGCGCTAAAACAAAAGGAGATCAATTTGCTAATATCTTGGACATGGTTAAATATTTTGGAAATTGGCAACCACCATTTATTAACTAATGATGTCCTCTTTCTTATGACACGAAGAAATCCAATTTACTGTCACAGATGACTGAGCACGAAGCAGTTCAGTCAACCATGTCAGAACTGGTCTTGCATCAGATTGATGTTTCGGTGAAGAACCTTGTCTTCCCAGTGCAGGGCTTTCGTTGGGCCTCCAAATTATGCAGTCCTCAGTATGTTATTTCATTGCACGCTCCTTAAAAGTTGGAAAGGTTGTTCATTTTCTCAGACCAGCAAAATGCAGCTTACAACTGAGCAGCGTGTTTTGGGGGTAACAGAATGGTGAGGACTGGCATGACTGGAAGCCTCCAGCAAGTAGCAGGTGCATCTGGTCAGCCTTTTCCCGACCGCCCCATTCCTGCCTAGTTGACAATTTGGAAATACATCCAAAAGTACCAAAGGGAAGCGAATTTCAATATTTTCGCTGCTACATTTGACTTTTTACATGTACATGTAGGCCATTTTACTGCTTTCAGATGGCTGCTACAGTGTGTGTCACTTTTGGGAAAATAAGTGTTGTCCATATACTGAATTCCTTTCCATACTTTTACCATATGGCTCCATGCTGGTACTATAATATTGTGGTACCACATGTTCCCCACACAAGTACGTGTCCAACGTGGTTGTGCATGTATCACCATGGAGCTATTAAACACAAGGAGTCAGCACATACAGAGATCAAAAGGGTCAATGATGGCCACCGCAAGCACTGCACGTGCTGCAAGGACAAAATAAATTACGCGCCATTTGCGGGCTAAGAGGAATGTTCGGAGTTGCATTTGCAAAGGTACCGCGCATGCGGTGTCCGTAACACTTCCGCATGTTCAACATGGCCGCCCGGAGACGGAGGCCACCGTCATCGGAGACTAAAATTTTGATAATTTTAGTGATTATTTTGATATTCCAATGACAATGAAAGTCTGGTTACATCTTTACATCCCTAAAATGTCTCTCTTAACAATAAACAGAATTACTAACTAATACAAATTCTCCAAAAATAGGCACAAGAAAACTGGAAGAATGTCGATGGTCCAGAGGAAAATACAAAACACAAAACCATGGGAAGATTTGTTGTCCTTTCTGTCATTGTCCACAACTGTCTCGGCATAAAACCTCACCATGTTGTCAAATGCATTCTTGTGGCATGTTTCCACCCTCTTTTAACCGTAGGAACCACTAGGATTGCGACTTATGATATAAATATCCTAGTTTATGTTTTGGGTAATTGTTCTCCAAGGCTGGAACCGCAAAATGTCATAACTGACTTTAAAAACGTCCAACTTTTTGTCAAATAACCACCGCGGATTCTGAATTTTCGAGGGCATCTGCAGGGATCACTCGCTGGCTCCTGAGGACTACTGAAGAGAACTACTCATCTTCTTTGTGCATCTTTTCCACCATTTCTTAACTCCAGTATGCCGCAGTGAAACACAGCAAGTCTGTATGTTAACAGCTACCCGGCGGTGGCGATCACTGTGTACTAAGAATGTCTAGGGTATTTAGCACTGGGGCAGGTAACCGCGCTTTGTCTATGGAGCCGACCGGAGCAGTTAATCAGATTACAGTCTGTAGGGACTTTGTTCTAACTCCTTGTGTTTAATAGCTCCATGGTGTGACATGATGAATAGATGGCTTGCCATGGACCAGCCTTCATGAGGCAAGCGCCCTGCAGTGACTGTCCTAACTATAGTTGGGCCAACCTAACAGGAGTACTGTATTACTGGGATGTAACGAAATTGAGTCATTAATAACAGCTAATGGAATTCTCCTCCTAGTCCGAAACCTTCACACTTACATGTACCTAAACTTGGGCACTGTACACCTCTGACTTTGGTCACTTGACCAACAAAGGTAAAAAGTAAAAATGAAAGAGGGGTGTACAGTGTCCCCCTTTGCTGAGTCTACCGTATAGCATGCTCAATTCCACCATGAGTCCAAGTGGGCCTGTGGTCTTGTATCTGGCAGTTACAACTCACCAGCTTTATTCAATCTGGTACCAAGTAAACGGGTACACACCCTCTTGCAATTCTATTGTTTAATATTGTTTGAAATCAAGTCCTGTGTTTAACTACAGAAACTTTCGCTCAGTTAACATTTAGTTCCGTATTTTTTGTCACACAGGAGGGTGATTCACTGAAGTTAAGACTAGAAAATATCAACTTTAACCTTTGCAGAAGAAATGGAGAAATTGTACCATGAGACAAACAAGTAAGTATTAAGAAGAAAATAGGGTGGTTGAAAGTACTTATTTTGCATGTGACTTGGTACATGTATTCCAGCTCTTTGTTAACATTTGTCACCTGACATTTTCAGAGTTCTTTAAAATGGGTGCAGTGGAATCCAATCATATATTAAGATATGACAAGCAAACCACTCAAAATTTAAAACATTGCACTTGAATATCAGTATATTTGTCCTAATGTAACTTTGCCAGGAACTTCCGACCTGCCTGAAAGCAGTCTCCATAGCTGTAATCCTAGAAAACACATCGTACATGCCCTCTATGCTTTGTTGTTTGCGGCGTACAAGTTCATACATGTATGTTTTTAGGGCTTCAGATGTTGGCTTAGAACCATCTTATGTGGTTGGGGTCAGCTACATGTACCTCCAACTCAGCCTCTACCAATTTTAAATAGATTACCGATAGATGCATGTACCTCTGCATAGAATCTGAGATGATATTACCAGTGTTGCTGCGATATGCTTGAAAGGTTTCTGTCATGGTCTCACATCATGCAGATTGCTTCATGAGGTGCAGAATGGCCTCTCTCGAGTTGAACAAGCATCGACAAATACTGCGTGTTGTAAGTGCTCAAATCGTTGTTCGAACTGTACCATTAGCAGTTGCATATAAATCCATTCAGCAAAGTCACCCCACTAGATCTTCCTTACTTTGCCTCAGGGCTGCTGACTATGTGTGCATATATTTTGTAGAGTCCCCTTTTTTTCCAAACTTGTGTCAAGGGTTATTGCAGAACTTCTTGAGTTCTTTGAGCTTCAAACTTAAGAGTCCAGTGTGCGACTGTAATTCTTGCAAATGTGAAGTGATGTTAAAAGCAGCTTGAAGGAAAGTTTCTTGTGCCATGCAGTTGTTAACAAGTTTCTTTATTTCCTGTGTTCATTTGAAGTGGCAGAGAGTGAGGTACAAGCAATGATAGACCAGATCGTTAGTAATTTGGAGAGACTCGACATCCTTGTTAACAAGGAACCTGCAACCAGGAAACAGAATGCCAGACTGTAAGCTTGGTGCACATTACTTTTTAACAAACTGAACTTGAAGTACTTATGTTTTTATTTGCCAAAAGCCTACGGACTGTAAACAACAACAACAAGATTGTAGACCCTGACTCTCTCAGATCCTCTAAGGGAAGTCTTGAGGAACTTTTGAATCTTCAGTTGCTCTTTCAAAGTTAAATTGCATGGGGCCCCTTCTCTTTAGTGCTCAGTTTGCTGCTGTATCTTGAAAAGCTTTGATGGCAGAGAATAAAGCTCCTTGCACTAAAACCAAGGTATTAAGAGTTTGAGGGCTGCTTTTTGCTATAGGCGATTAGAACAGCTGAAATATGACTGTCAGCACCTGCAAGCGGCACTGAGGAATATCCAACACAGAAGGTATATGCATGAACAGGAGATGAAAGACAGAGATGAACTGCTCACAAGACGATTTGTTGCCAATGTAAGTTAAAGTCGATACTGTTGGCACTGATTAGGGGTGTGCTTTAATAAGGAAATAAATAGGTGCGTGGTCGGTCTTAAACGTGCGCTTAAGACCAGCTCAGGAGAATGGATGCAACTAATGCCCGAGCTGCAGGCAGAGGCATTATCAACGTTGGTTCTCCTGGGCAAGCACATATGTATTCCCATTCATTAATACCTTTTCATCCAGAGAGTCAAAAGATATACACATATGATGGAGTTCCTTTTTCTTTCATTTTCCCGAACAACTCGTCCATTTTATGGTATATTCCTTTTGGAAGTTGTCAGATAGAATCTCCTTTAATGAACTTGGCGCGTGCATGATGCATTGTGTGCACACAGACTTCCGACTACCAGACCTGATTAAACTGTGTCATATCCATGTGCCAGTGCATGACTAATGCAGTGGGCATTGTCACTTCTCTACGCGCATTATCAAATGTTAATACACGGTCACATGACAAGTTTCGACCAATAGAAACAGAATACTGTCCCAGCTATTTATGAACAGGTTTAAGCACAAGTGCTTTCCTACACTGTATCTAGTTGCATAGAAACAAAACCGTGTTTTTGAAAAAAAAAGAGAAAAAAGATTAATCCAAACAGTTGTGAATGATCCAAGTAACTAGCATGAAATGAAATAAGCCGAGTTGTTTTGGAGTCATTCCTTGGATGAAAAAACATACCTTTTTATTTAAGTTTTATCTGAACATGATGATTGCAGTCTTTTGCTTTCTCGTCAGAAATGTAGTTGTACTGTGTAGTTTCTCAATTTGAGAAGGATTAGGGCAATAAAAAAAACAAGCATAAAAAAAATACCAGATATTCTCTGGTAAGGAACTGGTACCCAGGTACTCGGCAGAGATCTTCATGCACACTCTGTGCATCAAGGGTCTCTGTCGGCAAAGAATGAGAAAGTTCCTTCGTTACCACTTTTCAGCACTTGCCACCATCGGCTCATGTGTGATGGGTATTGGCAAAAAAACTGCATCTTACAAACATCTTACCGAATGCAATATTTGGCTCCTCACACATGATTTGGTATATTTTACAGGATGACAACACTTCTATCCTGATTGACCACGAGCTGCGCCAAAACACGTCACTCCATAATGCCCACCGAGGAATGGATGATTTAATCGGGGCTGGTGCAGCTACTATCGAGAACCTCCGTAATCAAAGGGGAGTTCTCAAAGTAAGTTTGAAGTAATGTTTCATGTTGCATCCAACTGAGATCTGGCATACTCTGACAGGTAATGTGATATAACATTCTGCAACTTTTTTTCAGCAAGTTCAGTCTTTATGAAGCTGATCTTTGATTTCGATAAACCTGTTGCTTTGTCCTTATTTATGAGTTGGACATCTTGAATCAAAAGCAAGGAGGTTCCTTGAAACTGTGTGTTTGAATGAAAATGATGGAATATAGGGAGGTTGTAGATGACCATCCCGGTTTTCCAGTGGATTGTCCCAGTTTGTGGATAAAAATCATATCACCATTATTGTCCAAATGAAAATTACTTTTTAAAGTGAGGGCCTACCCAATATAGAGTGTCCAGTAAATAAAGTGGATTTGGGTAGTTTAATCCAACAAGGGCCATCTTGTGAACAAAGCCCACGGACTTTGAAAAGGGATGTATTTCTCATGAATTTCTTTGCTTGGTCCCACAGGGTACACAGAGGAAAATCCTGGATGTCGCTAACATTCTGGGGCTCAGCAATACCGTCATGAGGCTTATTGAGAAGAGGGCGGCCCAGGACAAGTGGATTCTCTTTGGTGGAATGTTTGTTACCTGCGTTGTAATGTATGTCTGTTATGTATATCTTACATAGCATCAGGACTATAGCCACGTGTTGTGTTCTGTTACATTTCCAGTGCTGTACTGCTCAATCAAGGTCTGGCTTAGAAGGGATTTATTCATTTAAGAAACTGCTTGTAATTGGCACCGTATATTTGCCCAAGTCCTCGATCCGCAACAGCCAATGCCTTCGTCATTTTGATTGCTTTTGACCTTATCAAAACAGTCTGAATTATTTTTGTAGCTTTTTTCTGCATTAAAGTTTACTGCAGTTGTACATGTTTATCTCAAAGCGTACATTGTCGTAAAATGCTCACCTTCAGGTATGATGCAGATACCAGTATTTTGTTGAAAGATGTTCATAATTGTTAGTGGTACAGTTTTAGGATGAATACAGGAAACACAAAAGGAAGACATTGCAGATGTGGGAAAGGAGCATTCTTGTTTTGTTTCTTGTGATCAGATTTCATTCGATATAAATTTGTTAACCAAAGCTAGCTTGAAATTTGTTGTGCTTCTCTTACATTGCTTGAAATTGAAAGTGAGGAAACTTTTGGAGACGTCGCCACAATTCAAAGTTGGTGGCTTTTCCCAACTCCCATTTAGCTTTTAGGTCGCCCTAAAATGGACAACTCAAGCTGATGTGACAATGCTGTCATTCACCAGCATGGCTTGGTGGTATGTCACTTAATTGGACAGTGAGATATTTGACCTTGCCTACGGAGGATTTTCATCAGGCAGTTTGAAATGTTATGTCTTATAAACGTACAGAACATTGTCATTGTATAGAATGCACAGAGGATAGGAATTAAGAGTAGATCAATAACATGTATCATATAGGAACTGCTGGTTTCCCTTTTTGAGTCATTTGACAATCAGTCATATGTAAAAAGAAAGTCTCTAAACAAATATTTGTTTCCAGTTGATTTCCACCTGCTGGTATAACATTATATCTTTTGTCACACTAGAATGCTCAGCTGTTTGCTTTTGGTTTACATTTTGTTTGCAAAGTTTTTTGCTGATGATAATTTAAGTTCACTTTTTAATTACCATTTAATTTTTAAGCTAGAGGGCATTGTATGTTTTGGAGAAATAATCACAACGTCACAAATAATTTGGAGAATATTTATCATAATCCAGGTGAATAGATTATCCATGTACAAAAAAGCCATATTTCACTTTTCTCTCGATTATTAAGTTTAGTTTCATTTTCTCACATATTTTCTCAAATGTTTGCTGTTTATTGAAATGTGGAGGATCATAAACCAATCACAAAAAAGAAACCAAGTTTGTGTTTGTTTTTTCCCTCAATTTACATTGATGAGAATTGTCTGGATTCCATTTACCTGTGACCCCATGGGTGACAAATAAAAGAGGTTATTGTATAGCTAAGAAATGTCAGATCAGAATTGATTGAAAATAACCTGCTCTTCTAGGGAAACGGCAGGCTAGCCTTAGTCATAGACTCGTGCATTAAGCATTCTCTTAAGCTCTTTATCTCCAAGGGTGTAAATAAAGTGAGTTTCTTCTTAAATGTTATAGATAAAACACTACATTTATTAAGAAGCAACTTCCAATTAGCAGACCAAGTTGTGATTTTTATCCACACCATCTTGTAATGAAAGAGCATCAGTAGAAGAACTGACTTTACAAGCTTGAATTCATCAGTAAAAAGGAAAAATAAAATGCTAAGACACTGTGATATATCATTAATTTGGATGCTGCCAAACTTAGTAGAGTACCTGTGCATGTATGTAGTTGGGCATTGGAAATTCATTCCAATCATGCTTCAGTTCTCTTGCTCAATCAGAAACTATTTGAAAATGTATCCATGTAGCTTCATGTCCTCCCTTTCATCCATTTCAATTGTTGGGTTACTCTTATTGTGACAAAGTTCAGAATTTCTTATATATGCCATGTATGTCTATTCAAGTGGACACAAAGTTGTCTTTTAACAACTTTGGAATTTAAATTAATGATTTAGTTTAGATATGTGTTGTACTAAGAAGTAATATGAAAGTACATGAACCGAACCATATACATGTAAAGCTAAGCTTTGTAATTGAATCTTTAAAAAAGAACACTTACAACAAGGCTAATTTATTTGTCAAAAATAAAATGGCACCGTTTGATATAACATTATTTTTCCTTATTCCCTTTTGGTAATATTGTGCTGTGTCAAAATTGATTTTATGAATAAAGTAATAGAAAAGGCAAGAAACTTGTGCCCCAAGAGACTCGTGCGTTCCCCCACCCCTACACCACCCCTCACTCAGAATTTGCCATCTGAGACAAAGAAGACCTCATTTGAAACAATGACCAAAGTTCCTCCATGGTGCAGCCATGGGTCAGTGATATATCACTCAAGTGGCAAAGCCATGGTCTTAAAGTTTAAAAGGATGCGAATCATGAGATACTAAAATTAGCGCATAAGAGATCAATGGTTTCAACCAAAGATCGTATAGCGCTATACGATCTTTGGTTTCGACATTTAAACTGTGGAGTTCAAAGAGAGTTCCATTCATACAAATTTGGAGAGGTCACCAGTCTAAATTCCTCAAAACAATCATGGCTGCCCCCATGGAAGCGTGGGACCGTCAGTTTCACCCAGGAGCAGCTCCATTTGGAAATTTTATCAATTACTATTCCTTTAATCCACCCGAAAAACGAATAAGATTCCTCCCCGAGGACCTTTTAAATATCATAAGTTATTCAGGGAGAAAGAAAAATGCGACGGTGTTGGATATTGGGTGCAACTCTGGGGTAAGTGATTGCATGGTGGTGTAGGCCGGCCGCGCCACGTTTCTCAATCAGTGGGTGCAGCAGCTGCGCTGCAGTGTACATGTACGTCATACGTCAGTGCCCCGAAAGGCAATTTTAACCCTACGGGCATGACGGGTAAGACTAGTTCCATGTTTGGACATCACTTATTACTGCTTATTTCCCCAGCAGTGGTCGGTGGTGTACTAACCATCAGAAAGTGATAACATGTCCTAAAAAATGTAGGGCTCATAGTGGTGAGTTGTGAAATTTATTTACAGTATTGATCCAAAATTAGTTAACAACATTTTCAGATTAGTCTCATCATGTGTGTTTTATTCCTCCATGGTCTCATAGGGTTGGTGCACAGGTTGTCAAGCATTGTCAAGTGATGTCCGCATATGGAACCTTTTCAACTTTAAAAATGTGTGTTGGTTGAGAGCTACAGGCTTTTAGTATTGTTTCATAGTATTGTTTCAGCTGTTGTTTTTATAGGCAGTGCCAGTGGATATTTATTTGAAAGCTCACTTTAAAATTCAGCCACTATGTCCCTCACTCCGACCTGTACGTGATAACCACTGAGGAGGTGTTTGCGCAGTGTAGAACCAGGACTGTAACCTCAAGTGTGAATTGGTCTCTGGCAACCTAACTGAATGTGTGCAGTTATTGTTTTGAAGGGCTTAGAAGCTAGATAATTTCAGTTAGTCCTGAAATTAAATAATTATAAAGATGAACAAAGAAATTGACTGGAGCGGGATTTGAACCTGTGACCTCTGGAATAACGTACCAGTGCTTTACCAACAAAGCTATCCTGCCCTACATCAGTGGCTCATCCCATTTGTCAATATATCTGTTCGGGGGTGCTAACCAGAAGCCATTTAACCCGAAACACCATGTAGCCAGGGTACTTGATGCCAGTTTGAGTGTATTTCCAGAACTGTAAAGTTGTATAAACCTTACAGATCTGGAATTAGTTTGAGTAGTTGGGACGAGTATGGAAAAACAGAACATAGGCTAAGAGGTATTGTAGAATAAGTGAATGAATTCTTCATTGACTTTAGTGAGGAGTACACACTACCATATTGCTATATTAACTCATATTAATTACTGTTTTGTTTTGAATTCAGGATCTGACTGTGGCATTATACATGCATCTAAAAAAACAGCATCTTGATAAAAAGGAGCAGGGGAGCAGCAAGATGTGCTTAGCTTCTGCTGATGAAAATGATCAAGATATTTCAAGCAATCCTGCAGCTATTGAACCGGACAACACTGTTGCGATCAAAGTCCTGGGATGCGACATTGATGACACACTCATCACTCGTGCAAACGAGTCAAACTTGCACCCAGAGAGCATCAGCTTCCACAGGATGGACTTCATGTGTGATGCCTCAAGAAGTTCCAACCTAACAGAATTCCTGTCTCGACATTCTGAAACGAGTGGCAGATTTGACTTGGTGTGCTGTTTCTCACTCACCATGTGGATACACTTACAGCATGGCGATGCAGGTTTGCACAAGTTCCTCAAGGAGGCTTCTCTCTTGTCCAGATTCCTCCTTGTGGAGCCCCAACCCTGGAAGTGTTACAAGTCTGCCGTGCGGAGAGTAAGGAAAGTTGGCATCGAGAACTCTTGGCACTTCAAGGAGCTGAACATAAGGGACAAGGTTGAGGAGGACATCATAAACTACCTGACCTCCACCTGTCAGATGGAATTAGTCAGGACGCTTGGGGAGACCCACTGGGAGAGAAAACTGTTTCTATTCAGGAATGCAACAGGTGTCAGTGACACACAATCCTAGCACCATACTGCATTGCATTATCCTAAAACATTGGATTCCCAAGATTGAAGGCCCATTGAGTGTTAGGAGTGACAAAATAAGGCATTGTCTTCAGAGACTCACAATTTTCGTTTATCAATTGTGAGATTAAGCTTGTATGAGTTGATTATGGTAATGGTCTTTGTCAGTTTGCGAAATGATCACTAACATGTGATGGGTAAAAGTATGCAGCCGGTTCTTCAAAATCTATTTCAAGTTAATATGGACAATTCTTTGAACATATTGAAGGAAACCCATCTTTGAGGAGTGGATCTAATGCTGCATGATCTGACACTTCAAATGCAGTTGCACAAATGAGAATCTCCATGTGCCAAAATTAAAAGTTGTGGGTTCAATGAGAAAGAACGAGACTATCAGTTTTCAGCTGTTGTAACATAAGCATAAATTTGCATTCTGATTAACACAGTATGGAAATTTTCTCACGCCGAAAAAAAACCTGTGTGGCCCCTGTACAAAATCAGAAGATGGTGCCGCACTGCTTTTCACTGCTATGTGAGGGTGTTCCTCTGAATTACTTGAGTATGACCAGCAAAAATAATGTCTGTGAGAAATGGCTGTGGCTGCCAGCAAGTGGCTACCATAGGTGTGTGTGTTTAATCCAGCCATGGCCATAGCCGAGTGCATATAATTTGGACAGGGCTTGACAACTCACAACAGCTTCTGTGTAGGGTGACACCTTGCACAAGTGCATGCTCATTCAGAGAAGTCAGGACATTTTAATTGGAATGTGCACAAACCCACAGCATCCAAAAAGGAATATGGCAGTATCTCTCATTTGGGAATTGTTTACTGAGAATTCGAGCGCTTAGTCTACATGTACATGTAACAATGCACATTTTTTTGCATTTTGCAGTGAGCAGAACAAATAGCCAAATAAACATGTTAAATCTTTTTTATTGGTAGATAAAATTCCATTTCAACAATCTATGTCTAAAGGTACTGTACATGTCCATGTTTTTATATGAAAACAACCTGATTCTCGTGGTATTGTGCTCCAGTGTGGCATGTAAAGCAGAGCTCACAAAAATAAATATGTGCCAATGTGCAGAATCTCTAGCTGTATGTGTAACAAGGCTGAAATTTTGTTCACTGAGAAAATTGGGAGTTGACAGCAATGTCGAAATTGCGACTGTCAAAGAATCACGAGACTCCTTCGAACACATTGGTTTTTTTAATTACTCCCTGCAATAGTATTTTCATGCTACATGAAAAGTTGAAATTGCTGAATATACATAATCCCTAACTGGTTGAGTTCTCTGTAACAGTGTTGTGTCTAGAATGTTGATAAAGGCAAGGATTACTGCTTGGTACAGAGTGCGTCTGTTGCAGAGCCCACAAAAGGTACAGAATGGTCAGTTCAGGCTATGCTTCAGATACGGCTTCAGACATGGTGCAATTTCAAGAGACGGGGTGATCCATAAAAACCAACCTTTAGTCGACCAAAAAGATAATAGCTTTCCTCGTCTTACATGTATGAACTAAGAAACATTTCCCTAAATGTGAAATCCAAATTCTTAATAATCCGATATTGGCATATGACATTCATTTAGATGTTATGCGACACTACAGAAGAGCAAATAAAGACCCTATCAACTTGGGAAAAGCATGGAGCAGGACAATTTCGACAGGAGAACACCCAGGAATGGTATAATTCTTGTGGCTACGGCCAGACCCATAGATACATGAAGTCCATGATTAGTGCATGAAGGCTGGCAACATCTGCTGAGGGAACTCCAGAAGGTTCACAGAGTCCAAAGTTCATAACCCACAAGAGGTGTGGGTTATTTGTATCTAACACTCTCCGAGTCTTCCACTGACAAATTGGCATTCAGCATCCTCTCTTTGCTCTTCATGATGTTGTAGCGATTTCTGTCCACTTGGCGTTTCGTCAGAATGAAGGACGACACCCCGAGAAAAAGGATACCGGCCCTGTGTTCAGATGAAAAAAAATATGCCAGGAAAGTTAGGGTACATCACAGGTGGTGAAACTGATGAAGACAACGACGATATTGTAAACAGACAGGGATGATGGTGGTGGGACAGAAGACAAATGAGAAATGACAAGGGCAGTCCCAGAACCAGATTTTGGGGACTACAAATACAGGGTCTCTATGGCCTCCTGACGTGTAAGATTAGCACGTTCACGTGTTGTGGGGACATTTTACTCTAGGGAACCAAAGAACGAGACTTAAACTACAAAATCATCCTGTGTATTTCAGCTTACCCCAACCCCCAACCCCCCCCCCAAAAAAAATCAACTCTTTGGAAGGGCACTGCCCATTCCTACCATCAACTCTGGTTTCACAAGCATAACAACTGTTTCACTTACCAACTGACCATTATCTTGGTCCCTTTACCCCACTGTCTTACATTGAAGTTGATACCCATCCTCCAGTGTGCGTTGTCTTTGTTCTAAACTACAGCACCAGTCCACTGCAATGAAAGTCATGATCATAATTCAGCTATGGGATGCAGAACAGCGCACACGGTACGTTGCACATTCAGTAGGAGTGCACATCACAACTCGGAGACTGTCCTAAACTCAAAGAACTCCCTTCATTTGGGGACAAAATCAGTCCCCCCAATAGAGAGAATGTTTCCCTTAATAGGACTTTTTTCGAACGGGCTTGGGGATCGAGGTGCCATAATTCTGCAGCAATGAAAGTTGAGCTGTGATTGGTCATTGGAATGGATGCAATTTGGACCAATCATAATGCAGCTTTCATCCATGGGTAAGAAGATAACAAAAGGGAAAGATAGGAGCCGTGTTGCGATTGGTCAAGTTGTGATAGCTTGACCAATCGCAACACAGCTCCTATGTGATACAGCTGACACTATTGAGATTACATGCTACTGATTTTCTGTAGTGTTGATGGGCAAAATGCTCAAGAATTTTACCATTTTAATGAGGATATAAGATGAACAAACCTCCCCACCTGACATCTAATTTCACCAAGAAGGCATGCATGAAATTTGTTTGCACAAATAGCTGTGATGGAAGACTAAGATGGCACAATCAAAAGAGCAAAAATGTGTTCCGGGAGTTTGTACATGGCTATCTTTAAGGTTTGTACAAACCTTACAGTTCCGGAAATACTTTGAAAATGTGGTCGGGTCAGGTGGGAAAAGGGCCAACTCACTCTACAAGTCTTGACTAGTTTTTGCTGCTTGTCATATTTGACTCAAACCCTTTCTTACAAAGGCCCTAGCCGAAAAATTTTCATGAACCATCAAAATCACTTTTTAATGATAAAAACGTTCCTACCGTAGAATATTTGCCCCAAGAAGAACTTTAAAGAGAGAGAGAGAGAGAGAGAGAGAGAAAAAGTATCCACTACCCTGTACACAACCTATTTTTTCAATGTAATAGGAAGCACAACTAATACTAGACCTATTTTGGTTGGCCTAGTCTTGATCGTTACTAGTTTGAGAATTAGCCTAAGTAACATGAACATACAGAGAGTACAAATTCAAATTTAAAGAGGAGTTGTTGGCGTCTTCGTCAAAATTCTCGAATTTTGCGATGTCCTGATACAGATAACTGGAGGAGGGCTCTCAATTTTACCTCTCACTGGGACTGCCACTTCCAGATACCAAGAAATGCACTTCCGAAGAGATGGAAGTTGGAGATAGACATGTAGGACTCGTAGGGCCAGCTCTAGGCATGCTTGTATGGAGCAGCGGCTCCGTACCGTATATGGACTTAGTGTTATTTTACGGTCCCATGGTTTTAAATAAGGCGTACGATCTTTGCATTACATCGCCCATTTACCATTTCTCCCATTTGCTACTTTGCCCATTTACCACTTTGCCCAATTGTCACTTGACCCATTTGCCACTTCGCCCACAAGTCGCTTCGCCCCACCCACGGCTTTTGTCGACATTGAAAGGAAAGCAAGACACAGAAAAAAACACTACTTTTATCTTCAGAGAGGATGAAAGATTAAATATGAATACCAAGATATTGTGGCGTTGCGCCCCTCCGACGAAGGCGAGGGCGCCCTCCTCCTCGAGGCGCGGCACGTCGGATGGCACGCCGGAGAGTCCCTGAACAGCTAGGGACGAGTCCGTTGGGACCGAAGTATACCGTCCCCTAAGAAAGTTGGTCTTCGCCGAGATGATGGCTAATCTGATTGGTCGAAACTTAGTGACGTAACCCGGGCAGACCTGACTTGAAATAAACTTCGCCTGGACACCTGACTTATATACAACAGTTCGATTCCCACGAACGCGGCACGCTCACTTTTCTTTTGTGATTGGCCACTCGTGCGCGTACCACGCTAATGCCAAGACCATACTCCTTCCCCCTGGAGCTAATTGGCGTTTTCCGGAGACAAGCACCAGAAAACTGTATTCCAACTTTTTAACAGATTTCCCGCCCTTTTCAACTTTACAGAAGTGTCTGGACCACAAAAAAGGTCTTTTTTTAAATTTTCTAGTCTTGCTCTCAACCATGACCAATTCATCTGATCATGCTGTTACGATATATGGAACACTTAAAATATTAATATACTGTACAAGAAAGGTACTTTTAGACTATCTGAAAAGTCTGGAAAATGCTATCTTAGGAAATTGAATATTCATGCCTTTGTTGGTGCTTGGTATGATCTCATGACAACAACAAATTTAATGCTTGCACAGTTGCTTGCATTACCCCGTGTGCCCTAAATCTATATGTGCAGTCATTGCCCTTCATGAGTGCTTTCTTCTGGAGTAATTTGGAAAAAAGCCCGGTTGTTTACATGATTGTGTGTTTTGTTTGAATCGTTTTTATTTTGGAATTTGTACAATTTATGAGATTTCATGATCACTACTTGTGATGAAATAGCGCATTTTGTTACTTACGAACTTAGCTTTCAAGTAAAAGTCAACATTTTGTTAGCCAGTCTTAGCCAAGTCTTTGAACACTGATGTATTGGAGGGTGAAGAATAACATTACACACTTTGCATGGATAATGGAACAGTGCATCCAAATTTTTAAAGTTTATTTACGATGGCAAAAGTAGGTCTCATATCAGGTATTTTTCTCCAGTTCCTGGTCACAGCAATTATTTATATTATTTTTTTTACAAGCGACAAACTACAATTGCTAGGATATTTCTGGCTTCGCTTGTCCAGCTAAGACGCAGGCAGTAATCAGGCATTTTTGGAATGTTTTCTTTTATTTGTCTGACTCGGCGCCGATTATCAGTGAACACTTTGAAGTGCCAGAGTTGTAACTCCTTTTGTGTCTTTCCTCTATGAAAACCCTACTCACAGTCATCCCACTATCTTTGTTTTTATATCATGGTGTTGTTTTGGCTTCGGGTAATTTTATTTGATAAATATACCGATTACTTTCTTTCCTACTCTTTTATGAATTTTTAATTTTTTTTAAATACGCCACCGGCAGGAGGAGAAAAGATGACAGATGCCAACAAACCTTTTTTCCCCGACACTCTACAAATTGATGTCAACAACAAATGGTACATTATATTAATTTTGGCCTGTTGGTTTCAAATTCATTAAAATAATACCCACCGAATAGCAGTTACTAAAAAAAAACCTCGTATTGTCTGGTAGGAGAATAGAAGAAATAGCTCATACTCTCCCAATAATTCTGCTTCAAAATACAAGTCACAAATTCTGTGGCACCTTCAAAACACCCGCCATTGGATGCGTTCGATTAGCTTACACGTGTAAGTCAAACTTACACGAGACCGTTCGTTTAGCCATCACGTGATGTTCGTGCCTGCCCTGGTGTCAGCCACTACTACCCCAGCTGGCGAATGGGTCTCTGGAGACTGCCCGAGTGTAATGACGTCACGGATAGACTGTTCGAGTATGGACGTACATTATGGAACGTGGCGGGGACTTGGCCTTTTTCCCAGAATGCCTTAGCGAGTACGCTGCAGCGTTCAATTACCCTCGTTTCGAGACGTCCCTTGGTGTAACACTGGTGTATTCAGGGAAGCTAATCGAACGCAACCAGTGCGGAGCCTAGTATGCGCCGCGCTCGCTTAACACACAGCTATGCGCGGCAGAGCGCCATCTATAACTTTGCATCACGCCTAGTGACTAGCGCCCTCTGTCGCATCACAACATAGTACTTTGGAATCAGTCTAAGGTCGAGTTCGGGCGGTCCGTTCTTGACGCAGGTTTCGTTTTCTCGCGCTCGAACGGCGGGAACACGACCCAAGAACACTGTTCTCGGAACAGGATCACACACCACCTCCTCGTCAGGATTTTACACGAACACACGGAAAAACTCGTGAGATTTGATTTTTGGACAGCCGCAAAAGTATCGATATGGCTTTAACAAAGCCGAAGACAATAGAAAGTTTTGCAAAATTAACATTAATAATTTTCTATGACAGAAATGAATTTTTAAATTGAAAATAAGTTAGCCCAGTTATCCAACATTAACTCTCGAAGAACGCACAAGGACGCTGCCATGTTGCATGTCGCTTGCCACAAATAACTACTAGCGTTAATAACCGGTTGTACATTCCCGGCGTTCGAGCGATCGACCCACGAACAACAAATCAAGCTGTTCGTGAACAAACAAGAACAAGCCGCCCGAACTCAGCTCGTGCTCAACTCGAATGACCACATAAGGAATGCAAGTTCATCTGCTAACCGTATGCTTAGCCTTATCAAATCTGTGGCTCAATGCCTCAGTTCCTGCCAAATTGTGCCTTTATGAGACCAAGAAGATCTTCTAGTAGAAAATATCAAGCGTCGGGCCCGCCCGGCCCGAGGCTCGGTTAAGTTATATCTTGGGTCATGCATTGAACGTCGGTTTATGACATACACAGAAAGACTGGATACTCTCAACTGGCCCCGCACCTTATTCAATCGGCGTAATTTTGCAGTATTGTCTTTTGCATCCAAAATTAATGTTTGTTTCATCTTATCAATTGTGTAGTCGTGGAGTAACAGTAAATTGTAAACATTCAGAGGTCGTTAATCACCTTCAAGCCAGAACTCAACCTTACGCTCACCTGCCTCGTTTTCATCTATTTCCTCGTTTATGGAATAATGTCCTTGAATATGTTCGTAATGCCATCATCTTACAGCATTTCTCAAGTTTTCTTACATTGCTGAAAAGTGTTTTTTACACTGATTAATTAACTACAGCACACAGCCCATACATGTATCTCAATACGTCTTAAGTATCGAGGTACCGGTATTGCCCTAACCAGTACAATTTTACCTTTAATGGTTATTATTTTACTTCTTTACAGTCAACTACGGTTCTTCCTCATCTATTGTTTCCATTATATTAATTTACTTGTTTATGTCATGTCGCGATATGTTGTTTTAATGTTTAATCCAATAATTATGTTACAAATTATTAACTTTAAGTTGGGAAGCGCCATCTATTTGTTTCAGTCAGTTATTGTTTTGATACTTGTATGGTTTATGTCTTACATATTTGGTATCCCAATTAATTGTTGACATGAATAAAATAAAAATGATAGCAATGATAAATACACGATATTGAGACTGTCGAGGTTTTCTTTGATGTTCAGCCGACGCAAAAAAGTGGGCAGGGCACACCATTGACACACATAGCGAAAACTGCATCGAATGGCTGGTAGCTTGAGCTACAGACTCTCACGACAACATGAAGCACGTTCCGAATTTGATGATCCAAAACTGACGTGAAATGGTCAGAAACTTCAGGAATATTTTAGTGGTTTGGTTCACAGAATTAGAGTCGTCTTTAAGCATCTATATGTATTTCTGTTTTTCAGGAGGTCTCACTGCACACAGTGGCATACGGTAACTTCTGAGTGTAACAGTGCTTTTGAAAATGCTTTTGTTGTGTCTAAATCTTGATTTTTGATTCTTGTATCCGAAAAGTTGCACACAATAGACCTGTTAAAAACGTGGACATTTGTCGGTTAACCACAGGCCTACAAGCTTGTGAAACTAGGTCGTGCATTGTTAACACGCGCAATCTTGCGTGGGTCGGCGAAGTGGCCCGTGGGCGAACAAGGTAAATGGGCGACGTGGCAAATGGGCGGAGAGGCAAATGGGGAGAGAAGACCGACGACGTCGCTTTCCCTTTCATGACCCGATCGGCCGATTTTACTGTGCGCACGTGCCGCTTCGTGTCCTCTTGAGGGCGGCAAACACAAAGCCTCTGGTCGCATTCGTCATGAATAGGCCCAGATAAAAGTCACGATGAATTCAACCATGGAGGTTCAACATGCTCTAGGCGGCCGTAAGTAGAAATTAATAGAAATAGGCCTATAGAGATAGTCACACTGTTGAAATAGTTCCGGATTTCATGAGGCTGTTACATAGGCAGGGTTTCACCGTTTTCACACAGGCCTACACATGCATGCTCACATGACTTAGCACATTTTAGCAAAAACATAGCAGACGCACATACACGCCGTAGGCCTAACCACTTTTTAGCCCCACTAGTGTGGCACGGACTCTCACTCCCGATCCAACCTTAGCCACACATCTGTATACGCAATTTCGTTTTGGCGTACTGAACATTATCGGCGTACCCACTTATCATCGTGGGCGCAATTTCTTTTGCACACAGACATGACAGAGATGATCCTTAGCCTCTCTGCTTTCTTAGCGCTATTTATTGAGTGATTTCACTCACGTTCTGGTATTTTCCAGTCTTTTTGCCTTTACCCCTTAAATCTCATGGGCTCGCTCTCACAGTCGCCATCTTTAAAAAAAGGTCGTTGAACATTACGTCACTTGACCCCTCATCGTCTCGACGGTTGTTCCATGTCAAGACATATCTAACACAAATAATCTAATGCGTTTTGGTGGGTAAGATTTATTTGTATGCAATTTTATTTTATTTCATCAAATTTCATGATCATTATGTATTGTTTCTGTGACAAATAAAATAATGGTTGAACGTGTTACCTTATGCAGCATATAAAACATCACACTGATTAATTCAAGGCTGTCCAAAATTTTATGACCTTTTGTTATAATAACAATTTATCTTTTTCTTTAAATTCCTAAAATTCAAACTCGGAAATTACACCTTTTTTCACGAAGGACTTTGTTTTTGTCAAGATGGTAATATGCTATTTAAGGTACATGTACATGTAGCACGTCATGGCCATTGTACTTTCAGCCTAAGGCAAAGTGCGTCATTATACATGTACATGTACATTCCCAAATTTCCTGGCTTGTCTGAATTGGTGCAGTGTTATCTTGGCTTGTGCAGAGAAAAGTACACGAGGTCGGCCCTGGAGGATCATCGTCATGCAAGACTAATTCACTGGAAAGAAAAATAATGTGAAAAATGTCTTTATACATGTATGTATTTGTTGACCAGCGGTTCAGCAGAAACTCTTGAAGTGTGTCACTATACAGTGCCTTCCTCATGGATACAATGTTAATTAGGTTCCTATGTATCAAATTCAATGTATCATATCTATCTGAAATGATATTTGCGTGTTAAATTTGCGTGACAAAGACGGGCCTGTTTGTTAAATAGTCTGACCGGCCGCCATCTTGTTTTCAGGTGGATGGCAGAGGAAAGAAAGATGGCGGCTCCCATACATGTACGTCGCGAAAAATTTTCGTTTTCCTGCGATAATCTGGAAGCAATTTTGGTGTTTCTCTTATGCAGTAGCAAGTGTTAGAGTCTTTAAAATACAATGAAACCACTTTTAAATTTGTAGAGGGTATTTTCAAGCTGTTGATGCTTGGTTGACGCTACTTGTGTGTGTTGACGCGCGTTGACGCTAAATAGCATGACCGGTTGATGTACCCTAATGTGGCACTGTCCCTATGCCCCTAACATGGTGCACTTTCATTTTTCGCCTTTCGTGTCTTACAGGTGCAATATTTTTACCTCAAATTCCACAGTTAATGAAACTTCATTAAACTATCGATATTCTGATTCATAAATCAAGATCTTATGTACATGCTACAATATTTTGATGAATTTTTTATTTTCGGCCGATTTTCCAATTTTTTTCCGATGGTAAAATGAATACTTTCAAAATGTACACAAAACTACGACAATAAGTTTCTGACAAACTTGTGGATGGGTATGCATGGAAGGAATGTTGCTTTACAAGAATGGATCTACTTTAAGGAATTTTGAAAATGTTTATGTAGGATTTTCTGAGATTTTTCAATTGTGTAATGTCAGGGAACACTCAGCTGAATTTGAGTCGTGTTTGCAGATGCTGACATTTTTGGGATTTCAGACGAAATGTCATGACACTGGAATCGTTCACAGACATGACAGAGGCTCAACACCATGTATCATGAGGGCTATCGTGCAAAGTATTTAACCCAATGACTTTAGAGTTTTTCAACAGAAAGGTTTGGCAAATGCTGTGAGAGGAAAGTTAAGTGTAAGTTGAAGTGCGCCACCTGTTGTTAGGGGACTCCACTGTAGCGTGGATATTCGCCATGATCTGGGCATGTCCGGTGCACTGCAGCTGCATGATATAACATGCGTGACTGTATAGTCGCCAGGTCCCTAATTTTGCCACCTAATTCAAGTCTGATTGGTTTTTACAGCAAGTGGCAAAATCAGGTACCTGGCGACTCTCCACTAGTCTCTATAATTCACACACTTAGTAAGTTTTTCCACCAAAATTTGTTCTGAAATGTAGCCCATACTACATTTTTGAAAGTTTGATTTAAAATCCTACGTGGAATAATATTATGAAGAACATTGGATATAAGCTCCGTCAATTTTAGATAATTACCTATACTGATATATTGGGTAAGCTCCGTCAATTACAGATAATTGCCGATACTGATATATTGGCGGCCCGATATCGAAAATACCAATATATCAAGCTTTTTTGAAGGATATGCTCCAAACTCAAAACCAATGGCATATGCCCAGCACCTTTTGCGATTAGGCGGCTTAGGCCTCTGCCGGTTGGTCCTAACCATGCAGCATGTGATAAGTCTGCTGGAAGTTGTGAGCTTTTTTAATCTTCCTCAAACAAAAGAGCACCTGGCAACACCAAAAACCTGCTGTCAGAACGATTCACATGTGAAGGCATGCGTACTCTGGCCAGTCCGCGATCTGAGCAGCCCGGCAAGTCCAAACGGTACCCTGGTTTATTGCGCATTCTTCCTTCAACCTCTCACCATTGACAAAATTGTACACAACAATAGATATGAATAAGCATCACCCCCAGAGAGTGTGCTGGACTCTCTGCTTATCATTGATGCAAGTTCGGTGAGCTATACCCAGCAAGAAATGAGACCGAGGGGTACCCCCCCCAACATGTCCAATCCCTGTACACATTCCAGACTATTGTTACTTAACACATCCCCCCAAGATGTCTGAAAGGAATTCCCCAGATTCCTGCGAGACAATGACCAACACAAAGCAGGGGGGGTTCTCTCCGTCTCATACTTTACTGCATGTGCGGTGAGCGGCTGTTTCTCAAGCACTCTACGATTTTGCCTGGTAGCTTACACTGTATATATGCAAAATGTACACACACAAGTACCAGGCAAAATTCACTAATATTGAAGTCACAGCCACATGTAAAACAGTCTTTGAGCTCCCAAACAACATGCTCTGCTCTGCCACGTGCTCAATAACCAATGATGTTTGGTACCCAGACACAAGGGTATTTTACAGTTCAATTGTGTACGCCTTTTCAATTACACTATATGTGGAAAGGTGCCCTGCTAAATATAGAACATGCTTAATACACGCACGTTTTATGCAAAAAAATATTGTACACCATATAGGTGTTTACATTTTACCACTTTTTATAAGCTTGTGTGAAGAACGAAAAACCAAATCAAGGGTAAATCTGCTGATTCTTCACTTTCACTTTTGATTTATCGATTTCAATGTTAAAGTGATATCATTCATATCGATAGCAAAGCGAAATCGATACACTGTACCTGTATATCGGATAATATCGAAACATCAACAGACCTTATTGTCACTGAAGCAACAGGAACAATGTCGTCTGTAAACGAGTCGGCTCGAGTGAAATCTACGTCACCTTAATTTGTGCAAGAATGTTGCAAACATTATTTTACGGGGTATCGGTAATGCCCTACATCTGAAAAAACTGCCAGTTAATGTCTCTTGAATGAGAAAGTAATTTTTGCATTTATTACGTGTACTTTGGTTTGGTGATGCAGTTTGAGGAAAAAATACTTCCTCTTTTTCGTTCTCCTAGATTTTAATTTTTCTCAATTTTATTTGAAGTTAATTTGAACTGGTTCATTTTCGTATTTAGTTTATAAAGCTTTACCTCTAAAGGGCCAATTTCACAGAGCTGCTTAAGCACAAAATTTGCTTAAGCGTGAAAAACCTTGCTTGACAAATCAGGTTATCAGCCAAAACTCCACATGGGGTATATTGTTTTGGAATGGTATTCATCTGTCATTTGGTTAACGTGACAATTACATAGATTTTAAGCTGGTAACCTTCGTTTTTAAGCAAGGTTTTTTGCGCTTAAAAGCAAATTTTGTGCTTTTAAGCAGCTCTGTGAAATTGGCCCCTGTTGATATTTTTCCCGAAGTTTCCCTGGAAAGCTTTTAATTCACAAAAAGCTGCAACAAAAAACAATGTCAAAGTGACGATCGATCTTCAACAGTAAATTAACGTCAGTGCACAATTTTGTTGAAGAGTTTCACAACGAGAAAGTTGGATGCACAAATATTTGTATGTGCAAATTTAGGGTACTCCATGATATACGGTCATGCATGTTAGAAATTGACTGGCTGACTGGGCCTAGCATGTTACAACTGTGGCCAACACGTACATGTTTATCATTGGAGCCCCATACACCATTACACACTTAAAAACATGACATCATTGTGGAGTTTCTTTCCTCTATGTGTAGGCATAAACATGTGTACATGTACATGTGCACCTAGGTTCATGTACATGTACATGTAAATAGTCCGAGTAACTCGGACTCTACAACGGCGATTTGTAGAGTCTATGTTACTCGGACTACAGTAGGTACATGTAATTGGAGGCCCGAACAGGTTGAAAACATATGAAACATATGTTTAGAAAACACTTAGATTTTGCAAACCAGTCTCATGGGGTTTGTACACAGGGTGTCAAGTGACATGTTGTGTCCGGATATAGAACTCTTTCAGTTTACTTATTGCCACATCAAGGAAGAGGAAAAACCAATCATGTGATTGACCTGTTGGCTACCGGTACATGTTCTTTAGGGCTAAAAATGTTGTAGTCATTTATAGATTTATCAGTCTTACAAATACGGTACATGTACATGTTTCAGTAGTGCGTGTATTTGAATGCATGTCATCAGTGGTATTCCACTGTTATTTGTATCTTCGTGACCAACTACATGTATGGATAGTACGGAAATGGGCAACTCCACAGAAAGTCCACCTTTTGAATTTAGTGACTACACACAGAGAGTCATAGTGGCCGTCATATATCTGATTGTTATCTTGCTGGGAACTGTTGGAAATGTTCTGGTTATTCTGTCCATGTCCCTGTCAAAGAAGCTTCGTACAGCCACCAATATCTTTGTGGTAAACTTGAGCATAGGGGATTTGCTGACATGTCTTGCTCTCCCATGGACAGTTGCGACGACGCTCAGCAAGAATGGCCTGCCATTCAACACGTGGGTGTGCAGTTTGGCAGCAGCCATACAGGCCACAGCCATTGGTTGCAGTATGTACACGCTGGCCTTCATTGGCCTGCAGCGCCTGTTGCTGATCAAATGGCGTGCATCTGCCTATCGCATCATCTACACACCAAGGAAGATCGTGGCATGGCTGGTAGTCACATGGTCCATCCCCCTGCTTCTCACTCTCATCCCACCACTCGCAGATGTTGGTGAGATAGGCTATAACAAGAAGTACCATCACTGTGGATTTCCATCCACCCACCCCCGCTCTGGTGACTACGATCTTATCATAGCTTTAGGGTTCTATCCGCTCCCTTTCCTCATCCTCATCCTGTGCTATGCGTCCATCTGGAGGCATCTCTGCCACGTTGTCAAGAGTACCAAGCATCCAAAGGCCTCGGCTGAATTGTCCATGGGAGAATCAGTGGCTACTGAGAACAGCCCAAGTGGCAAGCCGGCACCTGTTCGCCGAGGCACCCTTCGGAGATCTCAGATGAGCCGTCACCAAACCAAGGTCACAAAGAACATGTTCTACATAGTTTGTGCTTTTACGCTCTGCCTGATTCCTTTTGGTATCTGCCTGCTGGTCAATGGCACCGAGCCATTCTTGCCATATGCCTATGCGATCCTGGTCTTCAACAGTTGTGTCAACCCCCTGATTTATGCAAGTAAACACCATGACTTTAAATCGGTCTTTTGTTGTATCCTGCGCTGCAAGTGGGATAATATCCCAGAACCGTCCGATTTTCTGAAGAGGCTAATCTCCAATAAAGTAAATAAACCATCTATCAGTACACGCAGCAGTGCAGAGAAGCCTTTCCAAGTACCAGAGAAAACAGATACACCGGTAACTGAGTAAACTGTATTTGCCAGAAATTAGTCCATGGTACAAAATGTATAGCCATGCATAATCAGCGCTTGAGTTACTTTGTAATTTCTTATCAATGCCAACAGCTGGATCCTTTTACAGTATCATTTCATTTTGTGTTTTTAAAATTAACAATTGTCTACGTCTGGCCATACGTTGCATTAATCTGAGGAGAACAGTCTCCAAACGCTCTATGTACCAGTACTATACCAGTACGCGTATCGTGTAACTTGATGTATGTGACACTGAACGTGACCTACAGTGTAGTGAATGATGATTATTGTAAAATGGTTGTAAGTAAAATAAAAAATGTATGTTACTCATTATTAGTCTTAGAAACATTGCAGAGTGGTAAGCATCAACCTGTTGTGCTCTGTGTTCCAATACCCATTGGAATTCAAGGCCTACATGTAAATAATCTAAAGCTTAAAAGATACCACCCCAGTTGATAATTGACACACTGCTAAGATGCGTTAAAACAATAGCTTGAGCTGTCCCCTAACCACTTGTAAAGTTCTGAGCAGGCCTTGTGATTAGTTGAAACGAAAGCTTTATTAATGCACTCCAAAAATACCATAGGCATTGAGATTGTTGAATTTGTATTGATCTTACGAGCATTGCGCCCTGGTAATATACATGTAAATGCCATGGGAAACGGTGTACAGTACATTATCGTTGACCCATGGGAGATGAAATGAATGGTTTGATGTAGCAACCTGTTATGAATTCCTCCTACGTTAGCTAGTGTGAATAGTGTCACTTGTCTATAAAAAGCACATTGAAAGCTGTGTTCTGTTATGAATTAAACATTTGTTATACTTTTTATAGTCCTTCACAATGTTTGCTGAAGGTACTGTTACGAGTGTACATAGTACATTCATCTGGACTGTGCGAAGGAACAGTGAACAAAGTATATGTACGTATGTTAAATGCAAATTTCCAAAACAAATGCTTATACACCTACATGTACATGTAAATAAAACTTAGGGCACACTTTGTAGATAAAATGAATTATAAATAAATTAATGCAAGTGCAAGCCATTTATTGCAAATGCAAATAAATGCACAAGAGGCCATACTGACTTTTAGAATTCAGTGTATGTTCCTTATGTTGGAAGATTGCTTTGGCAATATTATTCACAAAAAAGGACTTAATTTGGTATTCGGGTCATTCCAAAAGTTTGCCACATTTTGACACATTTGTTGAGGGGGGGCTCCTACGTGTAAATTTACACGTATGTACATGTAAGTGCTCACTCATTAGTGACTGCGTTGTTATTTTATGTTAATGGTACATGTCACTCTTCCAGTCATTCTGTAGTGTTTGGGAACATTTTTCTCTGAGCTACTGTTCTGTTTATTGGAAAAAATTTCATGATGAATCTGATACACCTTGGGACATCTGAAAAGGGTGCCTTTAAGTGACATTTCTGTTATTGCCTTCTAACTCAATAACTGTCATTAGTGATGCTGAGCTTTAAAAGGTCTCCTCTTTTGATTTCATAGTTCTGTTTAGCAGCGGCAGAACGACTTTCTAAGTGAGGGGGGAGGCAGTTGTTAGACCATCAGGCATCAGCCGTTAATAGGCTGAACCATGAAGCCCCGCTTCATTATAAGCCCTGCAAAAAGTGTGGGGGGCATGCCCTCCCAGTCAAAAAAGTGGGGGGAGGATGTTCCACTAGCCCCCAGACACCCCCCCTGCCATTTCCACCACCAGTGGTTGTGTTTTTCTTGCTGCTGCATACACAAGTGGCTGCTAAAACTTTGACTGGCCGTCAGTACAAAAGTAAAAGAACAACAATATTCAAAAATTGTGTTAAAAGTCTGAAGCAGCTATCAAAACACCATACAATCACACGCATACATCTATTAAACCAATAAACAAGAGTACAACCCTCTTTGAAATTAATGAGACAAATACATGTAAACAGGTACTGGCACATTTTGAACGAATTTGAAGTAAAAGTGAAAAACATCCAAACGATAAGTTTGCTGCTTTTTTTGGGCGCCCATACAAATTGTAGGCAAAATGAGAGTGGTCTGATACATGTTGTAGATTCATAGTTTGAAGCTTAAGAAGTCTTAAGTCCAGAGAAAGACACTGAACTAGTAAAAAGAAATCGGAAATTCAGAGAAATACACCAAGCAAAAACCCTAGAAATTCAGAGAAAGACACTGAACTATTAACAAGAAAAAAAATTCAGAGAAAGACGGCAAACCAAAAAACCCCGGAAATTCAGAGAAAGACGCTGAACTGTTAAAAAGAATAGGAAATTCAGAGAACTGTTAATAAATTTGGATTCATTTGAATTTGTGTTGACGAGTGTTTCAAGGAAGAGCCTCTGTGTCTTTGTAGGACATGTACAGGTAAATCCTTTTTTTCTCTTAAGCCCCAGACACTGTGGCCGCTGTACCTATATGGTGTACTTTATTGAATACTCATGCCTGAAAATAAGAGCTCTGAGAGGATAAGCTTCTTTTTGTCTTTATATGCTACTAAATTTTTAAACAGCAAACTAAAGTTTATAAACAGCAAGCTAAATTTTGTAAACAGCAAGCTTGTAAATATAGTATTTTCCAGCAAAATATTCTCAGTTAGATGTATACTAGGTACAGATTAAATCAAAATTCTCTGTTGTGGAGAAAATGGTTTTCTTTCCTTGCTACTTACATACATCCAGAATCCCGCAGCCATTTTTGTTAACGTACATGCATGTGTATTAAATGATTTTGCTATTCAATAAGAAAGCAAATGTGTTTTTATTCTGTTGCAATATGTGCTCAATTCTTTGAAGTATTGTTTACACTTTAACCACTTCCTGCCCTGGCAGTTATCAATGTTGATGATGCTGGGCCGGGATATTTATCATTTTTTTCTGTTTTTTTAAAATTCTTTGAAAATTCCTATCTTCATTTACTTGACACTTACAAACACGTGAAGGACTGTCTGGTGGCCCCTCTAGCCTGACAGACAAAATCTATTGACGCCGGAGTATTTCAGCTAGGTTTGCAGCCTCATAAAAAGAGCCCAGATTGTGCGGTGTTATATAACTTTCTTACATGTATGTCCACGAACCTGGCTCAGTGTGATGCTGACCTCTTTTCAATAGGGGCCAGATTAGCATGCAGTGGTGCTGTGTGACTCATCGTTGCGGTGGTTGAGCGTTTTTGTCCCCGGTGGTAATCCGCTCGCTCTAAATGCCCCAAACTGTGGTATATTGTTTCAAAACAAGGCTGGATTATCTCCACTTTTGAGAGTGAAAAAATGTTGGTTACGCCCAGCAACCTTGTCTTTTGTTACAAGTACGCTCTTTTGTTACAAGGCCCTGTTCCCTTTGCCTGAGTTCGGAGACCCCGGCCACACATATAAAGCGTACCTGTCCGGAATCCCTGGGCAGGAAGTGGTTAATGTTCGTGCATGGTCACGCGTAGTTTAAGAATCTGTGATGTTGAGAACTTTAAATAGTTGTGGGTAAACCTATCTACATGTAACTGCAACACAGGAAATGGTTACTCAGCAGTAGTTTTTGGTGGACCAGGGATTTCCCAAATTAGTAAGGAGGAAATATAAACACTGGGATCCCATTTCGGATTGCCTTGTGGTGTGTTGAGGAAGCTAACGTGTGTATTGAGGAAAGGTGGGATTATAGGCCTCCTACTCAAATTCCATATTAAAATTGTCCCACAGGCCTTTGCAGTAGAGTTTGGTTGGCCTTTTACTCCACCCAAGGCACCAGTGCCAATTTCACAGTGCCGGCAAGCTTGGGAGACTTGCATTTCATACACAGGTGTAAGTGTAGATGCTCAGCTGTATCAGGCTACCTAGTTTGCAGTTTTCCCGAAATCGACAATTAATTTTTTTCGGTACATGTACATGTAGACTATGCTAAAACTATAGACCTACATGCGGTGCCTACTTTACCTAATGGATAATCCAGCCTTGTAAAACAAATTGTAATATGAAATTCAAGATGCAGTTAGTGTATTTCACAGTACTTTACATGTATATGCAGTACCTGTGTGCAAGATCGTTGTTTTGATGATTGGTGAATACATGTACAAACATGTACAATGTATACCTGGTATGTGACGACTGGCTCTACCAGTATATTGCCAGCATAATTGGATCCAGAATTTTTAACAGGTGGAATCACGGTACATTGGCCAAGACAGTCACAGTTGGTAAATGTGAACACATGGCGTGAAACCTGTGTGAAGGCCTGAGAAAAATACTTCTTGTCAGGGACACATTTAAGGGAACAAGGAAATGAATTTTTCTCAGAATCACTTTTTGTGTATCTCTGTACTCTTCTTCCATGTATGAAGACTGTTTGACATCTTTTTTGAGTTACATGTACGTGAACTTAACAGTGCACTTTTTCAAACATTAAAATTGACCAAGCATTTCTGGACAAGTGAGGGCGCTTTTGCTTTGATGTATATCCAGGAAGACGTGGTTCAGGTTGCATGTTTTCATGTTCAATTTGTGAATCCGAAATTTGCTATCTGGGAACATTTCTGTGAAAAGGATTTTTGCTGGATTATTGCCATATACTCACACAGCAATAAATTGCCAAAGAAAATAAAAGCTGCCATAGCAGTGGTTAAAAAAATTTAGAAATTTTCTGTGCACAAATTAGTGCTACATTGAAATTCAGTGCCTGATGACATCATAGTTTTGCTCATGAATATGCAAATATGCTTAGCATAAAAGCAAAAAGCATCAAAATATGGGTTAAAATTGCAAAACAAAAAATTAAAATGAGGTTAATTGAAACCAAAAGATGCAATTTCAAGGGTTTTTAGTAAAATTTATAAAAAATATTTCTATTTCCTGGTTCCTTTAAAGAGAAAAATTCTGCTAGCAGGTGTTTTCACAGCTCTGCAATCAACTTTTCAGAGACAATTTTTCTTCAACTTTGTATGCTTCTTCAATACATCTTACATTCCTATTTGGTTAAATGCATTGTAAAGTGCACATTTTAAACAAGTAAATTTATCCATGCTTTCCTGGATAGCTGAATGTGGTGTGGCTGTGAAGTCATCCAGGGATAACATGGTTCAGTGCATAGATGTTTCTGTTCAAATTGTAAATCCAGAATTTACCGTCTGAAAACATTTCTGAGAGAGATTTATACTTGCTTATTGCTATGTACAGAACAATGAATCAGCAAAGAAGAGAAAATCCGAGTCCGGCAAAATCTAAAAAAAATACTGGACTTTCTGGATATTAACCAATGTAACATTGGGGCGTCCATGACATTACAGTTTTGTTCACGAATATGGAAAAGTAAAATGCACGTTCACTCTTGAAACAAAAGTTGAAAATAAGTTTAGCTGACACACAGGTGTATTTTGAAGGTTTGTATTAAAACAAATTGATTACAGTGGCTTTTTAACTCTGCTGGAATATACATGTACTATACACGAAGATTGGTACGCACGTACACATGTACATTTACTTTGTACTTTAGGCAGGCCTGTTGAATTGGGAACAAAACACAAAAAATACAAATAAAAAGTCCAGATTGGCATGTTTTCAGAGACCTTCTGAGATGTTTTTTCATTCACGTATGTGGCCCATTTTCAGTGAGTTGGGAGAGTGGGTGGCTACTTCAAGGACTTCCATGTACATGCCATGTGCGTTTGTGTACTTCCAGAAATCAATTCAACATCAAGAGAGGGCACACTTTAAATTGGTTTTCATTGCTGTGATATATTTCCAAATTTGGCATTGTTAACTTTATGAGTGAATATCTACTGTTGTGCTCAAAATTATTCATACATGTACCCTTTGGAAAATAACATACTTTCCAAATTCTTCATTTGTAAAAGCTATTATGTTGGTACTTCCACTATATCTTGCCCATTTGTTGCAACACACAAACCCACATGTGTGTTGACTAAAGTTCATTTGCATAATAATAGATACGACCCAGGAGGAGGCTATTCTACATCTAGGAGATCTATTTAATGTATGTGTGCATATTTTTTTAGCAACATGTACATGTATCTCATTCAAAAATTGTTGAAATCGCTATGAGCATTATACAGGAAAGTCACACCCGTAAATAGTATGAGAATGTGTTATAATAAAAATGTTATTTTTACATTTTACCCCATATAAAGCGGTGTCGGTCAAATTTCCTATTTTCCAGCACATGTATGTACATAATCTTTCAACTATCCCCTGTCAACCTACACTATCGAGGGTAGCCTCCACACCAACCACTGTGGAAATTTTCCCCGTGAAAATTGAGTGTCGGATGACATTCTTGTCACTGACGTGATGATGTCATCACTGACTACTCTTAAAAAGTATCACTAAATGTTTGAAATATTGTAACTTTGATTCTCCAACCTTTTTCAATTTACTGTACTGTAGTCATCTTTCAGCCACAACAATGTGATGTTGACACCATAGCTACAGTATATTTCAAGGCAGCACTGCATGCATTTTTTTGTTGGGGAGAGAGAGACGCATGGAGCACGAGACATACCCCTTTTCTGTGTGACTGCCTTCCAAGTTTCCTCTCAATTCTACCCCTGGTAGGGTAGGAAGGTTGCTGTGCCAAAATGTGAAATAAGTGTTGATTACGATGTTCATCTGCACAGGATGTGCACAAGTACTTTTTAGAAATGAATTTATGGATCATAAGCCATTCCTAGTCATCTGCTAAATCTAACCGTTTTCATGTACGATGTACATTAAAGCCAACATTTGAAGAGTATAAATACTTCAAACTCTGGGGTGTAAATAAACATGTAACAAGTTACGTCTTTTACGTACTTCCATTGCACAAGCACGTAATCTGTCAAGGTCTTGACCCCAGGTACAACAGGGCTATAAATAGCATAAAAACGTAAAAATGACATCATAGCACTGTACAAAAATCACTTGCCACAGACATACGAAAGGGGGTGCTGTAGTTTGCCAGGTCGTGACTTTTAATCATGAGAATGTTGTGCTCACTCCCAACTTTAAAATTTTGCACCCGTCTAATAACATTAATGAGGATTAGATTCTTTCCTTAAAAAGTCAAACCCTTTCAGTTTCCTTCATCCCCAAAATGTCCAACTTGAATTAAGTACAGTACACGTACAAGTACATCATGTTTGTAGCAATGTTTAAGAATTTTGACTTGCTTAGAAGAGTTCTATGAATATGTTTGTGTTTAACGAACATGTACAGTATGTGTACTTTGAGAAACAAAAGTGTACCGGTAGCTACATGGCCAAGATCAAAAATACTACTGATCTGAATGTTCACATGTTAATATTACATGTATGTACACATGTACATTTGTGACTTGACTCAGTCAAAGTGTGCCGTATACACATTGTGCATCATGTACTGTACACATTACTGGTACGTGTACCCCAGTATGTATACATTGTATATTCAAGTGCTATACATGTATGTACATGGCTTTCAGCACTGCAAATGTCGTGAGCCATTTCCATTCGTTCTTTGTTATGGTCTGACATTTCTGAAATACCTTTCAAGTGATATGGGCCACAACGCATTACAGAGGCACAAAGCAGACATCTGTTATATGTTTCACTAAGCCTCCAGTGTAAAGAAAAGTCTCCATTCTCCTCTGAGGGAAACATTGCGGCAATAATGGTCTCCTGGAAGGCATCCATCTATCATTTTGGGGAGCCTGTAAAATTGTCATTGTTTAATGAATCAATATTTGCCCTTTTTTTCCCCTCCCCACAGAGACAGTATTGTGGTTCCAGCTTACATTGTGTGTGAATTATGGAGTCATGCCTGAAATGCCGGTGAACTTTGCCAACTACTCACACTCCTATAGGCCAACTCCCCACAGATATGCTCACCGCAAGGATGGTAGATAAAGCTGTAGGAATTCTTCATGGGGGTGGCATACGTGTAATCATAATGAGACATTTTTGCTATGGAACCCCCGACTGAGACAGTGCCAGTGAGTCTACAGTTGGCTTTAGTTCAGGAGACTTGCATGCCACCGATGTTGTAAGTCAACATGCTGTGGCAATGCATTCTTGAAGGGAAGTGCAATCACAACTGTTTGGAGAACTGTGTGCAAGGTGCTTCAGATTTTGTAACAAGATAGGCTGTGCAACAGTGATTAAAAATCACACACCAGCATTTGCCATAAAAATGGCTCCCCGTCAGAGACAAGCCATTAAGAAACAGCAGCAGAGAGGGGCAGCGGCCAAACTGCACCGTCCACCATATGGGACTGTTCCCAGCCACTCCCCTCAGAACCCTCCCAAGGATTCCAGTTGGTCGCCGGTGCCGTTTCCTGGAGTCAGCATTTGCTTGTATGGCGCAGTCTTCTCTGTGGCTTTGCTGTGTTATGCCAACACACTCAACCATAATTTGGTCCACGACGATATTTTTGCCATCCAGAACAATCGCGACGTTCGAGGGGATACGCCACTTCGGAATCTTCTGGTGGATGATTTTTGGGGCAAACCGATGACGGACAACAGTAGCCACAAATCATACAGACCACTCTGTGTTATTACGTTCAGGTGTGTTGTTGTGTCGATGTACGTATGTTTAAGCCAAGGATATTTGATAAAATATTTTCGTTTTGTAGGTGAGGTCACACTTTGCCATGTGTGTCTTTTTAGGTAGATTTTGATGCTGTATACATGTAGATATTCGTTATTATAACTTTTGTTTTGATTCACCACTGGTTGTGTCTGCCTTTCAGATTGAACTACATAATCCACGGGCTGCATCCCTTTGGATACCATTTGGTTAACACTGTTCTTCATGCCACTGTCAGCGTCCTCTTCACCTACATATGTCAGATGGTGGTGTTTGCCGAGATTACACCCACTGCTGTGACCGCAGTCTTGTTTGCCACGCACCCCATACACACTGAAGCAGTGAGTTCAAAACAAATCTGACATACGATACTTGTAGCTTTCGTCAGGTTATTTACATGTGCTGATAAGTGCACCACATTCGACACTTTTCCCCCAAGAAAGTCTGGTACTGTTAACAGACAATTTTCAATGTGTACAAATATCAGGGAAGTCAGGTCATTGTGATGAAAGTTTGGGCTTCCCCTTAAATTGTATTTTGTACGTGCAGGGTCCAGAATAATGGACTTGGTTTACAGTTCAAAAGCATTCCACTCGTTTACTCGAAAACTTGCCCTTCGTTTCATCCTCAGTTCCAGACAAGGAGCTCTGACCTGTGAAGACAGACTGGCTATCCTGAATTGGTTTTCATTATCCTGTCATAATTGTCTTGTATGTTGCTTTGTCTTGTCTTGTTTGTGACATGCACTGATGTGTCCTTGTGTGTCTTTCATTTGGTGGTGTCATGCTTTGTTGTTTTGTCTTTGCCAGTTTTGTTCTTTGACTTTTTTTAAGTTATGAAAGGTTTATAATGAGCAGTGGTGTTGATTTTAATTTCAATTGCTGCATCTAGATGTTGGATGACAGGTCTATGACGACAGTGATATTTAGCACTTTTGTTTTCCCAATGCCCATCTTTTTTATGGCATGAATTGGTACATGTTATTGAATAATAATTCTAACAGTCCCCAAGTTTTCGGCGGCTTGTAATTTTGTAGAGTACCCAAGGATACATGTATGTATTGTTTTCATCAATGGCATTATAGTACATGTACATCTATGGTCGAGTTCAGGCGGCCTGTTCTTGACACAGGTTTCTTGTTTCTTGGTGGGAACATGACCCAAGATCACTGTTCTTGGAACAGGATCACACACCACAGCCTCGTGAAGGTTTTACAGGAACACACGGAAAAACTCGTGAGATTTGATTCTTGAACAGCTCCAAAAAGTAGAGAGATGGCTTCCAAAGCCATAGACAATGGGAAGTTTTGCAAATTAACATTAATTATTTTTCATAACACAGAAATGAATGTTTCTGTTTTATAGGAAAGAATTCAGCCCATCCAAACATTAACTCTCGAATAACGTAGCCTACATGGACGCCGCCTTGTCAAGTTGCCTGTTGCTTGTCACTTACTACCAGCGATAACCGGTTGTTTGTTAGGGTGTTCGAGCTGCCGACCCACGAACAACAAATCGAGCTGTTTGTGAACATACAGGAACAAGCCACCCGAGCTCAGCCTACATGTATACCTGGTGTAAAATCATATATACCTGTTAAAATATATGGCATTTTTAAAATGCTTTTTTTCCTCAGGTTGCAGGGGTGGTTGGTCGTGCAGAGTTGATGGCTTGTCTGTTCTTTTTGCTGTCTTTTCTTGCCTATGAAAGGTAATGTGAATTCTCCTTGCTTTAGATTCAAAATCTATAACTTTGACTGGCCAAATGTTCTTCAGTATTTGGAATCACCTTTAAAGAATTTGATGGGTTTCAAATAATTTTATCTTCAGCAAAATTACAATATTTGAACCCCATGATTTTTATTTCAAAATGCAGCTTGATTGGTTGCTTTGTAAAAAGAACGACTTACTGTTGGCTATCTTTTGCAAACTTTTTAACCACATCTGTCATCAGTCTTTGACTTTGCTTTTGTGTTAGCATTGAGTTGACCAAATACCATACAGGCACATGTACATGTAGAATAAGTCCCCAAACTATGGAACTCAGGTTTGCCTTTTTATTATCCACATTGCAAATGAAGTAGGAATATCAGACTGGATGCTTATTCTGAACTAATGAACACATACTTGTGAGTATTGAGTTTCTGTATTGAGTGCCAGAGTATTGTGCGATAGTGAGTATTGAGTTTCTGTATTGAGTGCCAGAGTATTGTGCAATAATAAGAAATAAATGTAATAGTAAATCTCTCTTAGAATTCATCTTATTCTAACAACAGGTACAACACGTGGGCATTTTGGTTTGGTACATTTGCAGTGCAGCTTTTTTACTCCTGTGGAATGGGAGACTCTGTAACGCTTGGTGGGGACAAACATGCCAGTCATTTTTACCAGTTCTAAGCATGGGCATGCTGTTCTGAGCGTGCTTGATACATGTAGAACATGTAGTTCTGAGCACGCACAATATCTTTGGAAAAAGGATCAGTATGTCTACTGCCACCAGGGTCTCAAAGTCTCTCAGTGAACATTGTCCAGTAAGCATATAGGACTCTGTGCTTAGCAATATTGAGATACATGTACATACATATGCGTGCACTGGTACATGTACACTGTATGTGACCTACCAGCACATGTACTGGTAGATTGAGAAGTGTGGCTTGACTAAAACCCTACATGTACCCTGCATGCCCACAAGTGCTTGCACTTCAGAAAACAGTGGGTGAGAATTTAAGGGGAAAAACTTTACAATCTGTGTTAATATTCAATGTGAATGTGGAGCCCCCAAAATTCTTAAAACTACATGTAATCTATAATATTATCTCCTTTTCTTAAAAGCCCACATGTAAAATAAAAAAGGACAAGTAAAGATACTTTGTGTTTTGTGGAATGCTTTTTTTACTAGGAGTATCAAACAGGGGAAATCAGGCTTCGCAGTTACTGAACGGCCAGGTAGTCTGGTACTCAGTCTCTCGCTTGCAGCTTGTGCACTTCTGAGCAAGGAGCATGGTGCCACTGTACTAGGAGTATCTCTTACTTATGATGTCCTAGTCACATCAAGACCAGTGATTTACAGGTACCAGTATGTGGAATGGTTGAAAACTCACATGACTAAAAATGTAACAATGGAGAGTTCTTTCCTGATCAAGATGTCTTGCATGTGTCACAACTCAAATAACTTTCCAACTAATATTACCTATCATAACTGGAAAGTTTGAACATTTTTTAGTGATTAAACTGGTGTCATTTTAAACATGGATTATAGCAAACACCTTAATGTTTTTCCTTAATCTTTAACAATTTACTGCCACATGTGCACGTATTCTGTAAACATCAACAAGAACTTCTTAAAACTATTCTATTGTATTTATTATTATTGAAATTATTATTATGAATTAAAATTTATAACTGTAATAGTAATACTGTGTGTTTAAAGAGTGGAATTATGAAGCATCATTGTTGCTAAAGACACGGTCGCTTCCACCTTCACCACATCACCACAGCACCATTTGATGCTGCCATTTTGGCATACGTTCTCAACATCAAAGAGGTGCATAAATGTGTCTTGCCAGATCACTTGGCTGATCAAATCTATGAAAACTAGCTGCGACCACCTCCATAGACTCGTGCGTAGGTTGAGACCACAGCCAAGTAATAGGCTTGTGGTATGTGGGTCATTCCATGAGGTTGGGGCACCATGATGGTGTCCATTGTTACGTGGGTTTCAAAAAACTGAACAGCTATTTCCCTGCATGTGGATTCCAACTTATACATCTTGCAAGGCTGAATACAGAGGTGTGTGTTACTTTTACAGAGAAAATGACCCTCATGTACTCTACAGGTCATGACAGGTGGTAAAAGTTATCCATTTAGCAAGGACGCCGTCACAAATTGTGCCCCAATTTTCTCATGGAATGACCTGTGTACTGATGACATAGATACGGTGCTTTGTTTACATGTGCACTTTCTTATGGAGCCAATGGTGGCCCACCGTCCAGTGAGTGCTATAGGAAAGCACACTTGTAAACATAGTGTGGCGTCATCAGTATGGAGGTCTATTCGGACATGGCCATAATACGCTTTCCCATATGTATGTGGTCTCATTGGCTGGACTGAAATCCACTCTCTGCACAGTTATTAAAACCAATGAAGTTTTAGGGTGCCCAATTTTGAGGTCACAACAGCCCATACCGGTTTCCAACCATAACCAATATGTGAACATGTTCAAACTTTGTTTAACCTCAACAACTCCTGATAACATCGCATGTGTAACCATTAACCTCAGTACATGGACCCTTCCATTTCTCTGTAGGGTACTGATAACAAGACGCTTTGGGAGGGGCTGCATGCCATTGTTTAAACGGTGTGCTGTTATTGTTGCAACAGTAAGTAAGCAACAGTGTCTTGTGTTTTTTCCCCACTCCATTCACGTTGCTTACCTGTTGTGTGGTGAGCATCTGATCACATCATTCTGTCGATTGGTCCCCTCAATACCCTGGTCAATCTGCACTGGCCGACAACTGTTGACCGCCCACCTTGTTGTTTTCAGCCTTCCTTGATTTCTCACATAGAAGCCTGGGCACTTTGTGCGTCCCTCCTCCTACACCTAATGCAATTACAATTCACATTTTGTTTAATGCAAAAGCGTAAACTCATTAAACTTCCTTGCTGTCTTGTGCGATATTTATGGACACATATGAAATACCAGGGGCATTACCAAATGGATAATCATCAGCTGAATGTTCATCAAACACAGATTCACCTTGTCACTTTCCTATTCTGGTAACATTTACACCACAATTCTACCTTTCTTTTTCTTTTAACATCATCTTGCTCTTTTTCCTTTTACTTCAGTTTTTAAAAGCCTTTTGTGCTACATGTTATTTCTTACTTTATATATAGCCTACAGAATAAAACTTAGTTTTTGAAGAATTCAGCTTATAAATGTATATTTTCACTCATCACCGTTGACGTCAGGATCAATTGTGATAATCCATGCTTACAAAATCACAGCTTTGCAAGGATTACCATTTTTCCACAAGTTTTTTGACATGAATAAGTTTGTCATCAGCTAGGTTTCGTCATCTGAAGCCTAGCTGTGTTAAAACTTGTCCCATTTGTGTTGGTTATTTCAGGTGAGTGTTCTTCTGGTGTTGAGGGTCTGGATGCTGCAGGGTCACTTGCCTCATTTTTCGGAACAGGACAATCCTACATCCTTTGCGCCACACCTCATGACAAGGTGCAAGGATATTTTACGATAGTTTGAACGAAAAGCAACAAGGAGGTCTTATACCATTTTCAAAAGTTCTCCAAAATCCATATTTACGCTTAAAGCTTTTACGTGTTGCTGATTTTCAAGGATTGAGGTCACTTCTTCAGTCACTGAGGAAAGAGATAGGATAATGGATGGCAATGAATTAATGAGGAATTGGACACTGAGATGCTTGGTGATGGCAAACATACTGATCCTTTTTAACAGTTTCTGAGCATGCGAGCATTGTTCTGAACTTGCGTACATAGTTCTGAGCATGCAAAATGCTACATGTATGAAAAAGGCTCGGTATGTCTGCTGCCACCAGTGTTCCAAAGTCTCCCACTGACAGATCTATGGAATCTGATACATAAAATGCATTATTCCCTCAGAATTAAACAAGCATCGTAGTCAAAATGGCCTGGTTAGTTAGGATTAGTCCAATCAAATCAGACTGCAGTGCCTTACCAATTAAAGAAGTCCAGTTTACACCATTTTAGTTGAGGTAGAAAGTTTATACTTGATTTGCCCTACCAGACGTCCTGCTGCCTTCTTGAGCGAGGGAGTTGAAGTCATTCACATGTGGTAGTAGCATACAGTGCCGATGATGTACTTTGCAATTTTCTTCTATTAGCATTGAAATCTTTCTAATTTTGGTGCTTTTGTACAGGTTTCTGTCTTATAGCTACCTGATTTTCTTCAATATCTGGTTGCTGCTGTGCCCTTCTACCCTTTCCTATGATTGGCAGATGAACAGCATCCCATTGGTGGAGTCACTGTGGGATGTGCGTAACCTGGCAACCATTATAATATTTGTCATCTTTGGGCTACTGGCTGTGAGCTGTCTTGTAGTTACAGAGGTATGCAATATGTCAACTGTGTTACCCATGGGCAACTTTTAATGATGCTTGATTATCATAGTATTTTGTAGAATTATGAGAATCAGGTGTGGCACATGACTTCA